ATATTTTACCTCTTACGATTAGTCGGACTCGAACCAACAAATTCCGTGTGGAAGACGGCGATTTTACCATTAAATTATAATCGCTAATAAATTTTTTCTTTATAATCTTTTTTTATATAAACTAATCTATTACTATAAATTCTATAATTATATATATTATTATAGAATAGGACCTAATGGATTCGAACTAATATTATAATGATTAAAAGTCATACGTATTAACCTTTATACTAAAGTCCCTAATAAAAAACTTTATATATATTGTTTTGTTATAACTAATTAGCAGATATCTACTTTAAATTTTTTATTATGAATTATGAACCTTAATAGTAAACTGATATATACAAGAATAGTCAAACTACATCTACAAAATGTCAATATAAGATTCCAGATTCAAATCCTACGTGATGATTATCTATTAAATGGCATGCATAAATTCTTTATAAACCTACAGCCAAGAATATTATACCTATTATAATGTGGAATCCGTGGAAACCTGTCCTAAAGTAAAAACATATACTATATGCACCATCACTTATAGTAAAAGATGATACACTATATTCTACTCCTTAGAATATTATAAAAATAATAGCTAATATAACTATAGTAATAGAACCGTATAAAGCTCCCCCTCTATCTCCTTTAATTAAGGCATGGTGAGTATAAGTTACTGTTGCACCATTAGATAATAATATAACTGTATTAAGTAAAGGTAATTCAAAAGGATTTATAGCTTCTATACCTATAGATGGTCATTGGGCTCCTAATTCAACTGTAGGTGATAAAGCGCTATAAAAGAAAGCTTAGAATATAGCAAGGAAAAATAAAGCTTTAGATACTATAAAAAGTATTACACCTAGATTAATTCCTTTTTGTATAGCTAATGTATGATTACCTAAAAATGTACCTTCAGATATAATATCTCTAAATCACATAACAAAAGATAATATAACTGTTATAATTCCTATATAAAAGAAAACATAAGAGTTCTCGAAACCATGTAGACTTAAAGCAGTATTAAAAGCTGTAGTAAATAAACTTATACTAGTGTATAAAGGTCAAGGAGAAGGAGAAACTAAATGGAAAGGATGATCTTGAAAATTACTTCTTATTAAGTTACTCATCGATATTTTTAATTTTATTATGACCAACGCACCTTAATTAAAATTATATAGTGTAAAGCCCTTAAGATGAATCGAACATCTATCATAATATTAACAGTATTATGCTCTACCGTTGAGCTATAAAGGCTAGGAGACAAGAGATTCGAACTCTTAAAGCATTATTTTGCTATTGAGTTTACAGCTCAACCCTTCTTGCCGATAAAGGAACTTGTAATCCGAGTGACCATGACCGAATCAGTCGGTCGAGTCCACTTCGTGAAGACGACAAAGTCTTTACAATAGTAGGTAGTAATTATCCTCTGGATCATCGTAAACTAACAGATCGAAGATCATTTTCTCATGTCATCTTGCGTGTGAGAATCTAAGCATAGGCGACACCGGAGAACAACCCAGGAGTGTCATCCTCGAACAAGATCAGCCATGGCGAGAAATGTGGATGTGATGGATAGTTACCACGAGACCATCCAAAGCCGGGGGAGGAACCGTAATAAGCCGCGGCCCGTAACTCTCATATTCTTCGGAGTCTCTATTCGCTGAGTGATGATAAACATCATAAACCTAGCGAGGACGGAGAGCTGTCAGATGACCCTTGTACCCTCACTGTCGAATCGATGGAGGCCACAAGGACGAAAAGGGCCACCTGGAATTTCATATGAGGAATGGTGGCCGGACTGTGCCACCTGAGGACGGCTTAAACAATCCCGAGTCTCTTACTCCGCAGTGAGGCCCGGTGAGGCCCAGTATACGATGACGGGAGTCTGTCGGCCCGTCATCAGTGTATACATATCTATTTCGATTTGCCATACCTCACGGCCGTGGAGTTCACGGCGATGGTGATGGTCTCCGAGTCTATGGAGTACGTTGTATTATTTGCTGGAGCTCCGACTGTCCCAGGCGGGGTCCGGTCCGATCCGGGCCTTTTATGGATGAATGTTCAAGTTGATGATAGCTCAACACAGACAAACGAGGCGCCAACTAAGAGGGACAACCGCGGTTTTGATACTGGGATTGAAGGCTTCAACTATTTATTCCACCGGTACTCCGTCCGTACGTGCGGAATATGGAATCCGTAGTGTACATACCTACCTTAGGAATGATCTTGCGTTCATACGAAGTACAACTGAGTACCTTATCCGCACTCCGTACCGTAAGGGGCAACTGCTTGTGTCGCAGCCTTCTCGAAGGAACGAGGGCACACCTCCCTTCAGAGTTGCGTTTGGGCGGGTGGGGCATGGCCTGCCTGGTGGACACTGCGGTGATGACAAAATCGTGAGGCCTATGACTGGCTGTATTGGGATTCGCAAAGTGGGTAGATTCGAGGCCCCTATCTTATTTCGGTTTAGTTGGCTATATTTTGTGGTGTACGTTGTATTAGGTGGGGCCCATTCAGGACAAGTTTAATGCGGAGACATTCTAGCCCAGTTACCAATAAAATACGCAAGATGTAGACGGTCAACGAACAAAAGGCTTACACAGTGCACTGTCGATTCTTGCACTAACGTCTCTCACAGGCCAACCCAGCCCTCTGTGGGTTAGGAGAGAGCTTGGCAACTGTTCTGACTGGCGGATGCCAGACCTGGCTGGAGTGTCTTCTCCTGTGTTGAGGTGAAGACGCCAGTACACCACTACCTCGCTGGCCTTCTCTCATTCTCCCACTCCCACTTCCACCGCACCTTGTTGTTATATGGTACGCACGAAGTAGTCTCTCTGCGCATACGAATGGGAATTGATTGTACGAAGTATTACTGTCTACATGGCCTTAAGCAACTACTTTCGTACAACCTACAAAATACTGTATCCGTACACCTTGGTCACGTTCCTAGCTTCATTCGTCATTGTTGTGCCAGCAGTGCCAGCAAAAGGTGCAGCCAAAGATGCAGCAATAGGTGCAGCAAGACGCAGGAAGTATCCGCAGGGTTGTATGTAGTACCCCGAACGGTGTACGCATAGATAGTACGAAGTAATACTTTGGAAGGCACCTACCTTACCTTAGTCAAGTCAGTTGGCTGGTCGAATATTTCGTTCAAAAGTACCTGTCGCCCACTCGCACGTCGACAGTCGACTTGCCATTTCTCCTCCTCTCTTCATCGAACTGTCCTGTCGTCACAATGTTCGTTTCCATCGTCTAAACCAGAGCGACTCGTCGAAGTCTGCTTGGAGTGTCCCGTTTGCTCTCCTCTCGCCTCTTACGTTTCCTATCTCGCAGTAATCATCAATCTTTTCGCATATCAGTTTATTCTGCTATCCCCAACTACCTAGCCTTAGCTTCCTTCATTCCTCTTATCGTCATCGGTCACGCCCGAAACCGCACCTTTCTTGGCCGAGTCACGATCCCAAACCGGAAACGATAAGGACCAGGGGTTCATTGTCGATTATCTCCCTACGCAGTATCATCCCACGCCATCGTTATTACAGCCTTCGTCTCAGCTGTGCTTTGTCCAGGCGGCATCCTCTCTTGCCTTGTCGCAGCTCGAACACTCGAACACCCGAACACACACACACACACACCACCAGAAGTAGCACTGCCTTGCAAAGCAACAACACAGCCCGGCCTAGCATCACCATCATCCCTGGCCAACCCCGGAATCTCCGCCACGACCAAAAATAATTTCTCCACGTGTTGCTGAGCTGATCTGAATGAACTGGAGGGAACAGTACCGGATCAGATCGGATCGGAACATATCCAGCAAGTTGTGTAATTCAACGATCCTTCACTGCCTCTTTGAGCACAGCTACCTATCACCTAATTACCCACCTCCCCATCCCCATCCCTCATACCCAAAAAGTCGATCACACTAAAACCTTTGTTAGTCACACACGCACTTGTGACCCTTGTCCCTCCCTCCCTGTTCCCCCTCTTTGTTTCTGCTTCCGTAATCTCCCAATTGCAACCTGACCTGCAGTCCTCCTGTCACCTCCACTATCACTCCCCAGCACTCCCCAGCACTCCCCGCCACTTCTTGGCAGCTGTGAAAGGCGAAACTTCACCCACGAAGACACGGCAATACTCGGGATTGGACGGAGCAGTCGCGTTTCCCGTTCCACACCTCCCTCTCCCCTTTTCCCTTTTCCCCTTTCGCTCTTCGCCACCCTGACCCGGAAGAGTCAGACAGACCAACCAGCCCCCAAGCCCCAAGGCGCCCGGCCCCCCAACCCAAGTGAGCCAGACACCTCTTGGAGCAACTCTGGCCATCCCGTTGACTTTGCCGCCTTAGGCTCCGACCTAGTCACGTCAACGTTTTCATCTTTGCCTCCGACCTCGCCTCCCAACCGAAGAACGAAGAACGAGGAACACGTACTTTACGCGGCGAGGACACAAAGAAGAAGAGTCACACTCCCCTTCGACTCACCTTCTCGATTAAATCGTTCCGGTCCATACCTATTCTCCAAATCTCCAGACCACAACTTGCGATCTCGGTTGCCAAACTCGTCCGCATCCAAGTCTTCGCCGTCGGTCGTCTCCTTATCACCACGTCACACCACACCACCTAACACGGTCTTCTACCATATGGTCTCTCTTTTGTAGGACCATATAATCAGACCATCTTCTTTTCCTTCGTTTAAAGGTTGAAGGAACTTGCCAGTCATGCCTCTTGCTACCTTCATCATCCTCACTCCAGTCGTCCGTCTCGCCTCTTCCGGTTTGATCGTCCGTGTCTTGTCGTCTCCTGAAGGATATTACGTCTGAGGCTTTCGCTTCATACCAACCAACGCCTTCTGAACTCTTGCAGTCGCAGCCTTGTGGCCTTGTGCGTCTGCTTGGTTCGCCACTCTTCGGGTATCTCGACACACGGTAAACACGGTTCTCAACCAGCTGACGCTTGACGACGACTGGAGGTCTCTTCCACTTTCTCTTTCGACGTAAACCTAGCCTCTCTTCGCTTCGCTTCGACTTTGCTCCCACCCCCTTGCTTCTCCCATTCCGTTCGAAGATGAAGTATTTCGACCATGATTCGTCGACCTTCGTAACCTCCCTCCAACAACAACAGCAGCAACAGCAGCAGCAGCAGCAGCACGGACACTACAGTTCCTCGCTCGAATCGACGGCCACTGCATCCACCGCATCGGCCTGGTCTGCTGTCTCTTCGCAGTCTTCTACCGACACCTCCCCTTCTACAACCTCTTCCGACTCGGAGCCATGCGACTCGTATCCGACCTCGCGTCCCTACGCTCCGTGCGACCAACAAACGACTCGGTTTACAAACTCGTGGCGCGAGCAAACCGCTTGCCCGGTTCCTGTGCCCGTGCCTGCGCCCGTTCCTGCGCCTGTCCCTGCGCCTGTCCCGGCCGAGCTGCGCCAAAATCCTAGGCGGTCCAACCTGAGTGCTGCCCGGTGCCCTCCCACCCTCACGCGTCACTGCGATCGAAAGGTCAACTTCGTCGGTAGCCTAGTCGGTAAGCTGCAATCTTCGAGACCCGTCCGCCATGATATTCCCCCGTACTTAGCCATGTTCCCTCCACAGATTCGTCCACGCAAATCGTCGAAGCTATCTGGCCCTTGTCCTCTGTTGTCTGCCGAAATGAGATTGGAAGCAAGCCCGTCCTCCCGCTTCGGACCTTCATCCAGGAGACGCTGCGGCGCTCGCGAACGAGCTACTCGACTCTGCAGGTTGCTCTGTATTATTTAATTCTCATTAAACCTCATGTCCCCAAACATGATTTCACCATGGAACAGCCAGACGATAGGCATGAGTGCCGCGCCCTCCAGTGCGGCCGCCGTATGTTCCTTGCCGCTCTCATCCTCGCCTCCAAGTATCTTCAAGACCGGAACTACTCGTCCCGAGCCTGGAGCAAGATTTCCGGCCTTCCCATCCAGGAAATCAACCAAAACGAACTCGCTTTCCTCCTTGCCGTCAACTGGGAGATGCACATCACCGACGACGTCTTTCAGCGCTGGACAGACATTGTTTTGAAGTACACGCCTCCGTCGCCTCCCTCGCCTGGCGCGTCGTCCGCCTTGTACACCCAGCAGTGCGCGAATTGGAAGAACGTCATCCTTATACTCAACCCCCGGCTCGACAACATCGATGCGCTGAACGCGGGGCCCCCTGCCCGGTCGCGGTCCCAGGAGCTGCCAGCTCTGTCACCGCACAGCCTTTTGTCTACCCGGCCGGATATTCATGGTTCGCTCCGGACGTACAGCGGTACCGCAGAGGTGGCGTCAACGCCCGACAAGTCCTACTTCGCGCCCAGCACCATGGAGCCCATGCCTTCCACTGTCTATCCTCCCGGGAGGCATGTCCCGGCTCTCGGGCTCCTTCCCACTCCCCGTCTGACGCCTCAGTCTACTGGGTGCAGCAGTCCTGCTGCGAATGCTGCACCCCACCTTGTCGGAAAAGGCTCCGCTATGGGCCTTGCCATGGCGCAGGCGTCGAGTGTCAGTGCCACTCAGGCCTTGGACCGCTGGCCTGGGCCCATGGTCTCGTCGCCCCAAGGTCCTGTCCTTGTCCGTCGTTCGTCTCTCGCGGCTTCGGTTTCTACGGCGTCTTCTCCGGAGTCCATGGTCTCCGATTCCTCGGGGACCTCGCGGTCGTCCTCCATCTCGTCCGCTTCGTCGCTGGCTAGCGCGCAGGCCCACATGCTGGGTGTCTCGGCGCGATACCGGTGTGCCAAGCTGGGTGGTGAGAGGCTCAACGTGAGGTCCAACACCATCACATCGGTCCCGGAGGACTACGAAGAGCGCTGCATCACGTCGTCTCCCGAAACCTACGCGGGGCCGGTTGGTAAACTCGGAGACTTGTCACTCCTAACCCCCTTGGGGAGGCGCGAACGCGAGTTGGAAGACATGGGGTGCGACGCCGCGAGCGATGCGGCCCGGGCCCTACAGGCTCTCCAGAGCTACCATTACGCCGCGAACACCACGCCGACGGCAGCCATGCCTCGCAAGCGGAGTCGGGAGTCACTCGAGACCTCCACGTCGCTACAGGACAATGTGCGCCAGACTTTGGCGCAGCCCCAGTCGGCGTGGCCGGAGACCCTCGTCCGGTCTCGGGCCAACTTCGCTCCATCCCTGCGGGGCGAGCGTGGGTCGGCGAGGAAGCGCGTTTGCTGTTCTGCAGAATCAGCGGATGCATTTCGGGCCAGCGGTTTCCACCACCCCGCATTTGCCGGGCATCGAGGTCCCGGCATGTGGGAAGGAATCCTGAACTAGCCGACGGGGCGGCTCGTGGTGGACTTGGAGGCCAGCTTCATGCGTCAAATCTTGTGCAATATTTTGTCTTGTTTATTGTTATGATGAGTCCCATGGTGTGGGCGTGGCGCGGGTTTCAACCCCATCCCTCCTGGGCCGTTCATTCGAATTGAGAAGTCGAATGGCGTCGTGGAAAAAAACAGGTAATACTTTTCTTTCTTTTGCATCTCCTGGATCCGGAGCCTCTCTGGAACGGACCAAGGCAGGCAGGCAGGTGGCTTTCTCATAGTCGCAATTTACGTTGCGTCTGTACTATCACCGGATGTGGTGGATGGGATGATGGGACGTGGAGTTTTCGCTTTTCCCTGTCTTTTTTTCCCTTTTTTTTTCCTTTCTTTTTTCTTTCTTCATTTTCTTTTTTGCCTATTGTACGTGTCTGCGCGCGTGTGCGAAAAGGGATGGGTGTATCAGTGAGGAACGGCGGCTAGGGCAAAGGACCATTTTGGATTGGAGTGAGCAGCAGCAGGCCGAACAAACCCATGGTTGCACATCGGCAAGAGCTCCGAGTCGAGAGACGAGGACTTGCTCCTGGGGGGAGAGGGACGGCCCGAAATGGCAACATCTCGTACCCTTGGGTAGGCGGATTGTCCTCTGGTTATCTTGCCAGGGGTTTCGGTCATGCTCTGTCAAAAGGCACTCAAGACGGCCAAATGCCCGAGAACGGAACGACACGATGAGCGCGAACTCCAGTGTAACAGAAGCTGCACGATGAACTGAATTTTGGGAAGACAAAAAAAAAGTCAACTGATAAAAGAGCAGAATACCACCAATTTCAAAAAGCATTCTCGTTTGGGAAAAGCGATGAAGCTATACTCGAGAGGTTCATAGCTAGCTTTGACAAACCAAAACAAAAACAAAAGCCTTCCGCCACGCCGGCGACCCTCTGCGAGGATCCTCCCACATACCCCTGATGAACGTCCGTCCGTCCGTCTTGCCGTCTAACCAGCCCACCGAGCGAAGGCCGCAACGAAATGAGAACCATAAACAGTTTACTCTCGACTTGAGGCGAGACAGAAAACGAGGCACGCCCCGTAATAATGTGAACGAAAGCGTCTTGCCTTGAACTGAAATTTGTAGGACAACAGGATTGAGGGCAAACGAGCGCCCAGGACGACTTGGAACGAAAAGTTATGATTGCATGCGACGAGGGTGCGCGGAACCCCGGCGGGTTGACAGCCAGAGAGTCCTGGAGACTCGGAGCCGCCTCTGCAGCCTAGAGCCTGAAGTCTGGGGTCTGGGCCTCGAGCCCGGAGCCGAGTGGGCCATACCGCTCACCCGGCACCCACGCTTGAGGAAGTAAGTGGCAAGGTGCCTCACTCAACTCGGATGGTTGGAGGTGGTGGCCGAACGATTCACAACGCTGCACCGACGACTGGGCAGCCCGCCCTAGTGGACCGGATGTTGTCCTCATTCGTCTTGAAACGATTGGGTGAAGTCGGCGCACTCTTCTTGTGGAAGCGCCAAGAATATCCGGCGACTTTGAGGCGACAACTCTCCCGGCTGCTCGGGCGTGAAGATGCGCCGAGACGTGCCATACGACGGGCTTGGGACGTTCTTGTGCAAAATATGATCTGGCTTGCTGACTGTTATTTTCTGCTGCATAGGCATGATGATGATGCCTCACGGTGGGTCATTGGTCATTTTGCCCCAAAGTCGTATATAGGCTGGGCTGTCTTGTGCTGCGCCCCAAGTCGCGCCAGCGGGACCTGGAACTTGTTCGTGTGCAACAGGAGAGATCGGTAGTCATGACCAATAACCGCCTCTCAGTCCTGGTCGGGCATGCCCAGCGCCGCCGTCCCAGCTTTGCCCTTCCCAACGTGCCACTCCACTTTCTATCCGCTCTGCCACCTTGACTACCTTGCCTAGCCAGAAGGCAGGCGACCAAAAGCGGGTTCAGACAAGATTTAGAACATGGTCCATGTGGCGAAGAAGCTCATGGACTTCATATATGGCTCCCTTTTCCGCAATGTCAGCGACCTTGTCATACGCTTCAGCTATAATGGTCTTGGGCCAAGACAGCTGAGTGACAGGGGCGTCCCGTCTCAGTTCCGTCTCGGACAGGCCCTCGTCCTCGTCCTCGTCGCAGAAAAAGTCGGAGAGGAGACAAAGAGAGCGGATGAGATGCGGACTATGATTACGGGGTGGGCATTCAATGATTCCATTGCGAAGACCCTGGAGCCTGAGCTGTTGTTGTTGCGAGAGTTTTGGTGAGGTTAGCGTTGGATCAGAATCGGCGGAAGCATGAAGAGGGCCAAAGGAAAAAAAAAAAAGGGGGGGGGGGGCTTACCTCCCACGTCTGAGACTCGTGAAAGGTAGCACCGCCGCGACGAAGCCAGAACAGACGGCGGATCATCTCGGGGGTCCATGGGCCGGCCACCAAGTCGTCCGGGATGCGAATATCCGGGTGGACGTCAACGTAGGTGACGAACCTGTGACGGAGAGTAGGAGAGGCGGGTTGGCGCATGGGAGGATCCACGCCGCGGCGCATGTTGTCAAAGTCGTAGGCAAAACAGGTAGAGGCGTCAAAGTGGCCCCGTCCTCCGGCGACATTGTGGGTGCCGCGGGCGCGGCTTTCCTCGAGGACGGAGGGATCATGGGCGTACCACCGATCGCGTGCGAAGCGGCGGGCCCATGTTTGCTTGGCTTCGAGGATGAGGTCGATGGTTGCCCAGGGACAGGCGAGGATGTCTGACTAGATGGAGGGTCAAAGGGCCGCTGTCAGTACGGTGAAGGAAATTTGATAACACGGCTTTCCCAGTCCTAGAAACTCGACTCCTTCCTCTCCCTCCTTTTTTACTTTCTTTCTCTCTTTCTTTTTTATTCTGTTTACTTCCGTGTCGGGACAGGCATCGAAGAAAGAGAGGAGAAAAACAAGCGGTGCCTACCTGGAATTGCGGGTTCCCGGGGTACAGGCTAGCAGCCAGATGATGGCCCTCGCGCTGGAAGGCCGCCCCGGGCCCTCGGAACGTCTGGACTTGGTGCTGGTTGACGCCAAAGTAGGCGTTCCAGGTCGGGCCAAAGGCGGCGATCAGGGCGGCGAGAAGCGTGGTGTGACCCGACAGCAGACGGCCGAGGAGGGGGCTGCAGCGGGGGAAGGCGGCGTTCTCGCTGAGGAGGAAGATGCGCTCGAGGATCTCGAGGGGAAGTTGGCGCTCCAGCAGGCTCTTCTTGCGTGGGAGCTGCCGTTTTCTCGTGTGGATTTCCCTGGTCTTGGCAGTGGTGTCGGTAGCGGCAGCGGCAGCGGCAGCTCTCCGTTCGACGAGGGCGGCCCTGTGCCGTGCTGTGGCCTTGCTGCGTTTCTTTCCGCGGACTTTTATGGGCGTGAGGTTCATGATGATGATGATGATGATGATGATGACGACGATGATAGTTGCCGCTCCCCGTCTAGACAAGTGTCATGACCACCATAAATCTCCCAGACTGATTGATGATACACGGTGAGAACGGGGCATGGCCAGACTCTTTAGGTGACATGCTATCTCAGGTCAGCTTTTTATGAGTAGTTTGCATGTGTTGAAGCATGCCTAGAGATAGAAGGTTCCTCTCGGGTTCTGGGCGTGTGTCCGGTCATCAACGAGTCGACGAGTAGAACGTACTAACTAAGGTAGGCTTCCACAGATTCATTGTCGTCATGTCTTCTTTGAGCCGCAAGGCAAGCAAGCTGAATACTCATCCAAATGTCAGTCACGAGACTACAAAAAATATTCACAAAATCCTAAAAATGCCAATTCAGCTTCGATCCCCACCACATCTGTATACAGTGTATCTACAATCTCCACATGTACTGTACGGAGTCCGCCAAGGTACGTACGTGTAAGGTACCTTATGATTGCACGTTCTTGAGAGTTCCCCGCCACATTCTATCCTGATATTCAGTGAGAGTTCAAATTCTTCGTAGAGAAAGGACTCTTTGCCTCTACACGTAGTAGGTAGGCTTGGGGATGAACGAAGGTTCGTTTATATTAGGTACCTTAACTCTGTGAGACATCTTCCTACAACACTAAGATACGTAAGGTACTTCGAAAATTTGTACAAAGTACGCCGTGTGAGACACTCCCACAAATTCGATTGGGCCCCCATTGGCCCACTTCCGATCACCGTCCACTTTAAGCTCAGGTACCTCGTACTCCGTGCTTGGCATTTCGCGGTTGATCGACTTTGGACAGTGACTTTTTTTTTCCTCTTCTTCCCTTCTTCTGCTCCAGTAATCTCAAAGCCCTCAACACACAACGTCAAGACCCTGTCCCCTCTTCAACAGCCAGAAAATACATCAACAATTCAGGTTGTAGGATCGCTCGAAAACTTTATCGTGTCGACACTCATATACCTGCCCCCACGGCCGTGGCAATGCGGCCTGTGATACGGGGGCCGGTGCCGTCCACGAGCCTGCTCCGGTTTCTTCGATCCCAAACCGACACACTTTCCGTCTTCTGTCCGACCATCCCGAACCCCGCCGCCGCCGCCGCAGTCCCGCGGTGCAAAGCCGCCCAGAATGCGCCCTGCCTCTGTCTCGCGAGACGGCCTCCGCGCCGCTCCCTCTCAACCACCCGGCCGAGAAGAGCCCAGGCGGCGTTGACCGCCGAGACGGAGATGCTCCGGGCCTCCCTGTTTGACCTCGAACACCTGACCACGCGCCTCCAACGGACGTCGCGGCGAGACGTTGCGGGGACATCACCGTCCACGTCCCCATCTCCGTCCCCGGGATTTTTCAGCACGGCGGGGGCGCGTTGGGATCGGGACAGGGACAGCGACAACGACAGGGACAGGGACAGGGACAGGGAAGATCAGGGGAAGAAGGGCAGCGCCAGCTCGACAACTTCGTGGGTGGAGAAGCTGTGGGGGGCGACGGCGAGGAAAGGAGCCCGGCCGCTTCGGCCTAGCGATTTGCCCTGTCACGACGAGGTGAAGGTTGGTCGTCACTCGGCTTCCATGTTCAACTCGCGGCGTATCTTGACGGCCAAGTCTGCGTCCGAGCCGCGGCTGCGGTGTACAGAAGTGGATGAGAACGGGGAGGTGATCTTGGTGGACGGGGAGTTTAAGAAGACGGAGCTGATTGCCAAGGTGGGTTTTGTTGTCCGTTTTTTTTCTTCTTTCTTTTCACGACCCAACTTGCCCAAAAAAGCTGACACCAAACATACAACGCAGTACGGCCTTTTGCCACGAGACTTGCGCAAAATCGACTCGTCCAACCTCCCGCACATCCTCGTCCGACCGTCGGCGATCCTCCTCAACCTGCTACACCTCAAGGTGCTGATCAAGAAGGACCGGGTGCTGCTGTTCGATATCTACGGGTCCAAGACGTCGTACCCGCAGTCGGCCTTCATGTACGACCTGCAGGGGAAACTCAAACAGAAGACGGGCCACGGGGTGGGCAGCGGGCTGCCGTACGAGTTCCGGGCGCTGGAAGCGGTGCTCACGTCGGTGACGTCGGAGCTGGAGGCCGACTTCGAGGCGGTGCGGGACCCGGTGATCCGCATCCTGAGCGAGCTCGAGGACGACATTGACCGGAACAAGCTGCGCATCCTGCTCATCTTGTCCAAGCGCGTCAGCACCTTCGAGCAAAAGGCCAAGCTCGTGCGCGACGCCATCGAGGAGCTGCTCGAGGCGGACGATGACTTGTCGGCTATGTATCTCACCGAGAAGGCCCACGACCTGTACCGTGGCGTGGATGACCATACCGAGGTGGAGCTGCTGCTCGAGTCGTACAACAAGCTTTGCGACGAGATTGTCCAGGAGGCCCAGAATCTCGTTACCAGTATTCGGAATACCGAGGAGATGTACGGGCTTTTTTTTTTTTTTTGTTGTTTCTTTTTTTTTTCCCCTCCCTCTCTTTAACAGCTTCTACATATATTATACCCTCCCTTTCCTCGCGTTCGATTTTTTTATTGAAAGAAAACAAAAGAAAGAAAAAAAAGAAGAAGAAAAAGAAGAAGAAAAAAACTAACGATTCTCTCCCACAGCATCCGGGCCATCCTCGACGCGAATCGCAACTCACTGATGTTGCTGGAGCTCAAGTTCAGCATCGGGACCCTGGGACTGGCCATGGGCACATTCCTGGCCGGCCTGTACGGGATGAACCTGGAGAACTTCATCGAGGAGACCAGCTGGGGCATGGGCGCGGTGACAGGTGTGTCGGTGATACTGTCCCTGTTCGTGTGCTGGTATGGCTTGATCAAACTCCGCAAGGTGCAGAGGGTCAAGATGATGCACGACGAACGGGGCACCTCCGTGGGGGCTGTTCGGCATCACTGGTTCCAGGATGATGGGCCGGTCGGGCTGTTGCAGGCTTCGAACCGGGAGAAGTTTCGGCGCATCACCGTGCAAAAGGGGATCAAGACGCCGAAGAGATGGTTTTGAGAGGGCTATCGTCATCCCCTAGATCTGCCTTTCGGCATTCCTTTTCTACACTGTATGCTATGATCGAACTATGTACGTATGCACTTGCAAGCGTTGCATATCTTTACGACAAGGATAAGAGGATGGGCAGGGAAAAGAAGACGGGCAGGGGAAAGAGGGGGCAGGGCAGGTGGACTCATCCCTGATGATGCCATATTGTACGAGTATAAACTGGAGTTTTGGAGAAAAATACATCGCCCTCCACTTGGTGTGTTTGAGGTTACCTTAGAATAAGGTACTCGGATAAGGTATTGTTGCCGTTTTTCTCTTAGGTACCTTATCTTAATGACTTCGTTGCTTCGGTAAGGTACCTCGTTAGGGCAGGCACATGGGAAAACAGTGACGTCTGGCGTCTTTATCGGCGAAAAATCTTGGCAACCGGGTCTCAGGGGTAGCCCCATCTGACGCATGACGTCACTCCTTCTGCCACACGCCGCGTCTTCCAACGTCTAACACGAACAATGGCGAGTCTGACGTCCCGCGCGTACGTTGTATTTTTGAGCCTTGTTCTGGAAAAGTGACGATCTTCCTCTGCGATTAGGGTGATGTCATCATGACCTTTCCCCTCTCGTCGAAGGAAAGAGCGCTGGCCATGTACACGTAGATGGTACCAGGTAGCAGGGGTCACCGCATCTCGTCTCCCTTGCTGCTTCCCCTGTGCAAGTACTCTCCGATGTAAGAACTGCAAGGTACCTAGTAGTAGGTCAGGTAGGGTCTAGGGGGAGAGGCATCCTAAGGTACTCACTACATATATATATATACAAGTCCGCTCTTTGCCTGTCTACCCATCACGAACCCTCCGTCTTCTTCCTTCACGCAACCTATCCTACAACAAAGCCACACATTATCCGACACAACAGATCTACTTCCAGACCCTGAAACAAGTCTTCCATTTCAAAAAACTCTCTCACTTCCTAGAACCTTTCTCGCTCGGTCATCAATCATCATGGGTGCCGTCGTCTCTTGCGTATGTCTGCCCCTTTCTCTTCACTCCCCCGAGCCAACCCCCCTTGTCTCAGCGCATGCTAACTTCCTAACCAGATCCAAGCCGTCTTCCGGACCATAGGTAACGTCCTAATGGCCATCGTGACGGGAATCGGAAACATCTTGCAAGCTATTATCGGCGGCATCGTCTCCTTCTTCAATATCATCATCTCCTGTCTCACCTGCGGCCGCGCCGGCCGTCGGCGAGGCACTACCACATCAAGGACGAGAAGAAGCAGAATCTAAAGAGTCCCCCGCCTGCTGTTATTCGATAGGGGGGAGAGTGATCCGACCACGGCCATGGGGTCGAAGTTTGGCGTGGGGGAGGGGCTGACACCCGAGTTGGCCCTTGGTCTCTCTTTCTCCTGGGCAGGTGGGGGAGAGAAAGCCAGAATAAAGATTCAACCGAAACCTCACTAACTGCTTGAGGGTGGGTGTTGACTTTAATGGAGGGGGAAGCAGGGAGACAGACGTCTTGGACTACGACGACAGTTTTTTTCTTCTTTTTTTTCTTCTTTTTTTCCCCCCTTGCTCTGCTCTGCGTTGGGTGTTACGTTATTGCGCGGCCTTTCCTTTACGACGAAACGACACTCAAGACTTTTTGCGGGTTGACCATGTTTGAGGATGGCCAGATGTTGGCCATGGAGGATGGAGACGAGAGAAATCCAGATACCCCCTCGGCGCTGCATTATAACCAGTCCGTACTCCTAGAATTTTATTTAATATCCTGTTTACTATATTACACCACGTTCCTCGGCTCTTGCTCTTGCGTGCCCGTATGTGATTTCTCGAAATACAAAATTTGACAAGCCACCTGTTAATTATTCTTCCACGACATTGCGGTTGAAAAACTCGTGCATCTGCCGTGCAGCCTGCCGTCCCACGAGCGGCTCAAGTTCTTCCTGGCTCATGTTGGCCACCTCGCGCAAGTTCTCCGTCTCGAGCACGATGTTTTTGATATTTTTGGGCGTCACCCCGGGGACGATGCCCAGCATCTCCTGCGGCTCGAGGTTGAAGCTCTGGTCGTCGGCGCGCATGTCCCGGTCCAGGCCGGCACGCACCGCCGTCAGCGGGTCCGGCTCGTGCTCCTGCGACTTGAGCGCCTCGAACATCTCGGCCGTCTGGAACGGGGACGAGCTCCAGAGGATGCGCAGCTGCGGGAACGCCAGGGTCAGGAGCACCAGCTTGGACTGCACGTCCGACGACACGCTGGGCGGGGCCGTGGAGGAGGAGGAGGAGGAGGAGGCGGAGGAGGCGGAGGAGGCGGACGACAGGTCGGCAAACGGCTCCAGGGTGAACGACTTGTTCTGGTCGAACTCGATGAGCAGCAGCGGGTTCTTGTAGTGCTGGAACATGGCCTCGGCCTGGGCGTATAGGCGGCCGTCCTTGAGCGAGGCGACGAGGTCGCCTATGGACTTGCGCTCGACGCACAGGTTGGGCGAGAGGACGTAGTCCCCGATCGTCAGCATGCAGGGCACGATCTCCATGGACCGCCCGTGCAGCAGCGACGGGAGGGAGGACCGGAACTCCCGCACGTCCACCACCACGCGCGGCTGCTGCGCCGTGGCCGCCAGGCGCCCGCCGCCCGCGATCCGCGTATTGACGGTGCGGAGGAAGGCTTCCTGCGGGTCGTCGAACCCCGCCCCGTGCCCATGCGCGGCGTCGGCGGCGGCGGTGGTCATGACGAGCGACATGCTGGCGCGCTCCTTGATCAGCTTGGTGAAGGCGTCCTTTTCGCGCCGCACGGTCGAGAGGTAACGCTGCTCCTCCACCGAGCCGCCGTAGTACAAAAAGTACACCCTGACGTGGCGGCTGTTGTGGGACGACCGGTACACCTCGACGCGGCGGATGAAGGCGGCGTCGGGCTCGTACATGATTACGTAGCGGGGCTTGACTTCCTCCAGCACGTGTTCGTCCTGGTCTCCGTCGTAGGCGTGGATGACGACGAGGTCCTGCATCTCGTACAGCTGGTAGTAGTCCTCCATGTCGTCCAGGGGGTCGGCTACCACGTCGGCCACGGCGTCGGCCTTTTGATGCTGCGCCTTCTCTTCCTCCGTGGCTTGCACTTGGGCGACGAGCCCTGCTACGTCCGACGGCCTGTCGGCGAGGGGCACGACGCTTCCGTTCTCGGCCCGTCCCGATATGGCGCCTATGGCGCCTCCGCCCCGGACCCGCCTCCGCTTGTTCGGGGGGGCTTTGCCTCGGAGGGGTTGGCCGGACCGTCCGTCCGTCGCCCCGTTGAGGGCTCTCTGGTTCTCGGAGAACAGGGTGGCGCTGACTCGCGCGAACTCCTTTTTCCAGTTGAGATAGTTGCGGAGCTTCCTTCGCATCATGAAGGCAGCCGAGAGTTTTGATTTGTCATCGTCGTCATCATCGTCATCATCATCACGAACATCCTTCGTCTTCTTCATCTTCGCCCGTTCTGGTTCGTTCGTCTTGGGTTTCACATGCATGGTTTGCAAGTAGTCGCGGAGTTGCCTGCAGGTGTTGGCATCGGAGCACATGACGAGGATGGTCCCATTCGAGTCGTCCCGGACAGGCGGGTCAAACCACAAGTCGCGGTCGATTTCCTCCAGTACCTCCGCGAGGACAGACCACTTGGGCAACTCCTCGAGCACGGGTTGGAGGGCGTCAATGTCCGGGCCGGCGACGGCCGGGCGCGTGCTGGCCGCGTACACCCTCTTACGGGCCGTTTCGAAGATGGTCTGGGCGGCGTCGAGGAAGAGCCAGGGCGACTGGTTCTGCCTGGTGGAGCCGGGGGGAGGCGAGTGGGCGGCGTAGATGGTGTCGAGGTGTTGGAGGAAGGCGACGGCGTCGAATGTGAGGACGGAATGCAGCAGGCCGCGAAGGACGGTCAAGTCGTTGACGATCTGGCGCGTCTTCCAACTGACGCGGTGCCAGTTGGGCTCGAGCTGCCTCCGAACGACCACGTCGAAGTTCTTCAACAGCGCGCTGTCCAGGTTCCAGCCGTCCATGTCCAGGGCGCCGGCATTGGCCTTTTTCAGCTCGTGGATGCTCACCTCGACACACTCCAGGATGGCGTTCTGAATGTCCCTCATGGAGTCGGTCATGGGCACCTCGAGCTCGATCACCTCGGCCTTCTTCTTCTTGCCCTCGAGCGATTCGGCGACGACGACGTGAAACCGGGGCCACAACGACGCCTTCTTGAGGAACAGGTTGCGCATCATGGTGGCCAGGGGGGCGAAGCCGGTGGAGAAAGGGTCCGGGTTGTCGGAGAAGGCCTTGAGGAAGCCGATCTTGTTCTTCTGCCGGTAGATGCGAAGGATGAAGGCCTCGAGGGAGGTGGTAGACACGCGGTCGGCGTGGAGGACCATGATACCAGTAATAGTCTCCGGGTTGAGGAGGCTGGTCAGGAGGTCGACGATCAGGATGCGGGACGTGATGCTGAAGATGCCGCCGCGAGCGTACATCTTCTCGCGAGCGCCGACGCTGGTGAAGTCCGTGTTGACGACGGTCAGGCCCCGGGCCTTGGGGGACATGCTGATGGCGGCATGTTCGGCCAGAGCTTCGCCGATCCAGGCGTTCTCGCGGTCCTCGGCGCCGACGATGATGATGAGGTTGTTCCCGGCGGCGTCATAGGAGTGGAGTAGGTTGGTGACGAGGCGCATGAGCCCTAGCCCGCGGGCCAGGACGATGAGCTCATCTTCGGACCGAAGTTCTTGGAAGAGAGCCTGTTGGTACTCCTGGGCAGAAGGTCGCGGTCAGCTAACGGGAAGTGCAGGGAGTTAGTTGGAAGGATGGGATGGGCCCATGGGGTCTTACAAGAGGCAGTGAGAGCTTCACTGGCTGAGGCGCACTTGTCGCCGACATGTAGGGCGCATTCGAGGTTTATGAGCATGCTTGTCTGGGAATTGAGCAAGGCCCAAAGGGATTGAATAAGTCTGGTAATAAGTACCCCAGACGAATATCGGGAGTCAAGTCCAAGACGAGATGGTGAAGTTCACAGGATTGAAAGGCGAAGGTGTACGAAAACGATTCGGTGATTAGTAAGCAACCGAGTTTTTGGATCACGATATCTAATTTAAGACTTCTAATCTAAATAATTCTGCGGATAGCGTATAAAATAATATTAACACGCATATACGCTTTCTTCCTTTCTTTCTAATCACCAAGTTATTCTTAATAAAAAAAAGTAAAGTAATTACCCTAATAAAGTACTTACTAGCTTTCTAATAATTTACTGAAAAACAAAGTTCATATAAGTATATTATAATATACTATTTTATTTTATTATCTTAAGTTATAGCTATAGCTATGAATATCTCTAGAGAGTATACTATATAAATACTTACCGCAATATCTTATATCTGTCTTCAGAGTAAGATCTCTTTATCTAAGTATATTACTATTAAATATATAAAAATTATTATACTCGGACTTAGGAGGAGCGTGAATAGTGTTATACTAATACTTTTAAGAAATAGGCGAATACTATTATTGGACTCTAAGATATAGCTAAATATTATAAGTCGTTTATTATTACCGGTATTTAGGCCCGCGAGATCTAGGATAGTTACCGGGTAGAGAAAGCCCGTATTAAGCAGGTTAAAGAAATCCAGTGGGTCGATAACTTTTCCGAGTAGTAGAGCCGGCTTATATAGACGCTTAAGTATAATGCTAAGAGCGCTATGACGGGAGGAGACACTAGTCCGTTAATCACTAAGCATACCAAGCATTAACTGAGTGTGTAACACATTACGACTCTCTATTCTTGATTCAGGGACAGTCGACAACGCTGAAATCCAAAGTGGTGGGCTGACTAATGTGTCCATAACTGTCTGTCTTGCTCCGTTACTAGATACAGCGTCATTGGGTTTGCCTGGTGATCACCCGAAGTTACGTGTACGGCTTCCACGGAGTACGAAGTCTCATGTCTCTCGAAGGCGACGTCATCATGGGTGTTAATAAAGGTAACACTGGTACATTTCCGGTTCCCCAATGATAGGTATATAATCAGGTAGACATATGGTGCCCCATGATTTACTTCCACTTCACTTCACTTCTTCATAGAACAAGACACATCCGAGCAAGACGAGTTCGAGCCTTATTATACCAAGACAAAATCCCACCGAAGAGAACAACATATCTCACTACCACCCGCCAACATGGACAAGATTAAGAACATCGTCCAAAACACCGACAAGAAGGTAAACACCTAGCCGTTACAGGACTATAGGAATAAGGTCCTCAAAGCTAACGCTATCCTCTTGCTACTTTAGGACCAGGAGAAGCAGTTCACCACCCAGCCCGTCGAGAACCAGTCCCAGGGAGTAGACCCTAAATTTGCAGCTCATCAGGCGAACCCTGGCCCCGCGATGCCCCAGGACTTCAGTAACATCAAAGAGGAGGGTACCAAGGAGGAGCGCCGCGCCAAGGCCGCCAGCCTGAACCAGAAATAAAACGATCCATGGCCATGGCGACGGGAGTCCCGGGACGGACGAGGCTCAACTCTTGAGTACTTCTTTCGAGCTGTAAGATAGGGGGGGCTGATGTTGTTCGATACTCCGATACTCTACTATACGATACGATACCATATGAATTGTTAATGCTGCGAGACATGGCGATATAACAATATGGGCCTTTGTGCGCGTTGAAAGCTTCCTGAACCTGACGGTGTCACGGTGATCATGTCCAGCAGGATGATGTACTTGATTTGGTTTTCAAAGTGACCGTGACGATGTTGATGATTTTACGAATATGAGGGGCAGTACGTACCATTACAGTTCGTAGCACGGAGAACCGATGACGACACCCGGTATATGTGGCTGTGCGTGCATCACTCAATGTGGCTGGAAAGGAGAATCATTGACCGTATGAAGTATCATACCTTGCTTGATGATGTACCTTATTAGGTACAGGTACCCATACCCAACACCTAATACAGAGTAGAAAGTCCTACTTACTGCGTATATACAGCATCCCCCTGGGCAGCCAGGCAGCGATGGTAGGTACCTAAACAAGGGACTGAACGTCGTACGGAGTGCCTATGGTAGGTACCTACCTTATTTTTTCGACTGCCTTCGCACTCATATCTACGTGTATTTCCCTACCTTATTAGGTACTTACCCATGCGAACTCGGAGGACTCTTTATTAACTTCCAAGTTCCTTTGACGACCTCCCCCCCCTTCTCCGCCGTCGTAGAACGAGTCCCGGTCTAACTTCGACTCTGACTACGCATCCTCTTTTCTTTCACCTTTGCCAGATCTTTTGTCGGGACCGACCAGTCGCTTATTATCTCACCCTTCGACCGTCCTTCAACCCCCCCCCCCAAACAACATAACCAGCCTGTCATTGTCGCCACGACATGCGTGAGTCGGTCTAGAAACGTACCTTACGTACGGCATCCAGCTGCTCCCCTTATTATTAAGGACTTTCGGCTCACCGCTTGCCTGACTGCACCACCGGCTCCAAGAAGAGTACCAGAGTACCACACACCCAACGACGACAACCGAAGGACCTCTTTACCTTCGCCCCGCTCCTCTTAACTGCTCAGATTATCTACCCAGCAGCACCGCAAGCTGCAAGCCGCAAGCTGGCCGTCATATATCTCCAGCTTCAGACCGCCCCCCGTTCTTCTCCGCTGCGTACCCCTCCGCGGGGCCTTCTCCTCCCACCAAACATGCCGACCATACTCAACGACGACGACAAGGACACCGTCAAACGCCATGTTCCCAAAGCTACCAACAAGATCCAGGCCGTCGCCGTGGCCAGGCTTTACGTTGCCTATCCCGACAGGTCGCGGTGGACATACACTGGCTTACAGGGTGCCGTCGTGCTAGCCAATGACCTCGTCGGCAATACCTACTGGCTGAAGATGGTCGACATCTCCGTAAGTTTCCAATTCACCGCCAGGCCGCCCGCAATCCCAACTCCCGGTGAAGGCTAACAACCAAATGCCCCCAGCCTTCGAACAGAGGTGTCCTCTGGGATCAGGAGATCTACGACATCTGGAGCTACAACCAGGACCGCACCTATTTCCACACCTTCGAGCTCGAGGAGTGTCTCGCCGGGCTCTCCTTTGTCGATGAGAAAGAGGCAAAGCAGTTCAAGAAGAAGATGGACGACCGGGAGAAGAATGCCAGCAAGGCAACTCGTCATACCCCCTTTGGAGGCGCCAACCATCAGGCTCATCACAAGCACGGTCTCCTGGGTGGTCTCTTCGGTAGCCATCGACGCTCGTCCCCCTTGATTCCTGATTCGCCGCACCCTCTGCCTCCGCCTGCGGCCCCGCCGTCTTCTCTCCCGCACTCGAGGGTACCTTCGTCCGGTGGCATCGTCAATGGCCGCAAACCCCCTTCCGAGTTCGCCATCCTTGAAGCTTTCGACCCCAACTGGCGGGCGACCTTTGGTCGGGAACTCAGTGCGAATGGTTTGACGGACGATTTCATCAAGGAAAACCAAGAGTTCATCGTCGACTTTTTGAAGGATGCACAGCAGAAGGAGAACAATGAATATGAACACGCCCCTCTGCCTTCTCACAGGGCTCCCCCGCCGGCGCCTCCGTCGCCTCTTGCATCTGCATCTGCACTTGCGCCTGCTCCCCCTCCCCCTCCCCCTGCCCCTGGCCCTCCCCCTGCCTCTGCCCCTGCCCATCCTCCTCCGGCCTCGAATGGCCATGGAAGAGCGCCTCCGCCTCCGCCTCCACCTCCCTCATCAGGAGGACCTACGGATATGTCACACCCAATTTCGGGCCCCGGCTCCAAGCGAGGCGCGCCTCCTGCTCCACCTCCAGCCAGGAGGGCCGGGAGGACGGAGAGTGCGGCTCCGGAAAAGAATGTGCCTCCTCAGAGTCCTCCTGCCCCGGAACCACCACGGCCTCGATTTGCTGTCCCGCCCCCGCTGCCCGATGCCGGAAAACTCGCCCACGAACCCCCCGCGAGGTCACCACGGCTACACAACACAAGTACACCAAATCCCGGACCGCCCCCGCCGCCCCGGCCACCTAAGATCCCCGAGGATGATAAACCGGCCGGCCAAAGATTCGGAGTTCCGCCACCCTTTGCCGGAGCTAGGAACCCAGTGCCGCCACCTCCTCCTACCAGGGGTTCCGGGCCTCCCCCTCCTCCGCCGCGCTCTTCGGCGGCGCCTTCGTCAGCCGCGCCGTTCATTCCACCGCCGCCTCCTCTGCCGCCCAAGGGAAACAGCCCCGCACCCCCCCCTCTTCCGCCTTCCACAAGTCGGCCGGTGCCCCCACCCCCGTCCGCCGGCAGTGCCCCGCCTCCTCCTGCTCCTCCTCCGGCGCTGCCTCTGCCCCCAGGTCACAATGCGCCTCCTGCCCCTCCTCTTCCCCCAGGCCACAATGCGCCTCCTGCGCCTCCTCCCCCCCCACCGGCGCCGGTTGCTGCAGACCCCAGCCGGAGTGCCGTGTTGCAAGGTATTCAGAAGGCAGGTGGCATTGGTGCGCTGAAGAAGGTGGACAGGAGTCTGATTCGAGATCGAAGCGGAGCACAAGTCCCGGGTGGCGGAGGCGATACGGGACCCCACGGCAGCGGCCTACCGCCTTCTGGGGCTGCGCCGGGCGGAGGTGGGGGCGGCATGGCCGATGCGCTGGCAGCGGCCTTGCAGAAGAGGAAGGAGAAAGTTAGTAGGAGTGGTACGTCGATTTTTTTCTTTTTTTTTTTCTTCTTTTTTCTTCTTCTCCCTGTATCGCGCTCCATTGTTTCTCGGATAAACGTCGCTGACACGGGCAACAGATGACGAACGAAGCGATAACGATGACTGGTAAATCCTCGTTTTGTCGGCCTCTGCTCGCAATGGACCCTGGAGATCTGCGCTGCGACCTGAGCTGGTCTGCGAGATGGCAAGCCAGGGCGCGTTGAGAACCCTGCGTTTTGCATGCACTACGGGTGCGAGACAAGTTTCGAAGAGCGTGGCAACATTCGATTCCACAATTGGTTACTCTGGGACGAGACGCAGCACGCGCAGCGTAACATCCGCGCCACCGAGGGTGAATTTTTTCTTTTTCTTTTGAACAAACATCCAGATTGAACAATCGAGTAGTATTTCTGGAGAAAAAAGAGAAGATGGGTAGAAGAAATATCTATTAGAGGAGGTAAACCGCATGCTATCGTTTTGTCCATCGTCATGATCGCGCGAGTCAATTCCGTGAAGTAAGATAACCATGGTTTTTACCTCCTTATCCTCCATTCCCGAATGCCTGGCCAAATTGTATCATGCAGGTGACAGACAACCATCAACTATGTCGTGATTGACCGAGAGTGAAGGCAGAACTAGCCTAGAAAAAGCGAGAAAGATGAAGAAGAAAAGAAACCTCGTTGAAGCGAAATGGTAATACCCCTGACGAGCCGTGACGTCTCTCCCACCACGGCCGTCCATCACCAGGAAAAGGGAAAAAACGTCCATACCGTGCCTGTCGCGGAATTCGGCAGAGGGGAGGGCCACGGAGAGTTTGACGTCTTCGCAGCCCAACTGATTTCCGCCGAATTTGAGAGAGAAGACAGTCATCCTCTTCCGTGTTCACACTCCCCGTTTCGACCAAGTGGTTGAAGAAGGGGAGGAGGACCGGAAAAGAGGGGTATGTCGGTTGCAAAGAAAAGGAAGCAGAAGGAGGAAGTTTTGTTTTCGTCCCTCTTTCTGTTCTTCCTTCCTTTTCTTATATATATGAATTTTTTTAAATGTCGTCGATGGAAATTTCCTTCTTGCCACCAGCGTCGTCAGAATCGTCATCCGACTCATCACGGTCCTCATCGAACTCAAAGTTGCAGTCGGCGTCGCCGTCGGCGCCGTAGGTGTCGGTCTCGTTGATCTTGGCGCTCTCGGGGAGCTCGCCGTAGGCCTTGAGGGAGCGGGCCTCGTCCGCGGTGTACTTGAGGATGACGTCGCCCTTGTCGTCCTGGTACTCGCGGAGGGAGAGGAGGATGATGTCGCCCTGGTTGATCCAGACCTTCTTGCGCAGCTTGCCTCGGATGTTGCCGAGGCGCTTGACGCCGTCGAAGCAGGCGGCTTCTAGACGGCCGTTGCCGAGCATCTTGACGACCTGGGCGTATTCTGGAGAGAGAGAGAGAGGAAAATCGTCAGGGAGCGAAATAAATGGAAGACCGGAAGGGTTGATGAGATATTTTGGGGATGAATGGAGAGGGGATGCATGAGTAACGAACCTTGGCCATCTTCCTTGAAGGTAAGTTCACGTTTCTCGTGGTCGGACTCGTTCTTGCCACGTCTGCGGTTCTTGCCGCCCTATACAGCACAGTAAATGTCAGTTTGTTTATTTGTTTGTTTTGTTTGTTTTGATTGTTTTGCTTGTTTTGCTTGTTTGTTAATAATGAGTAGCGCGATGCGATGATGCGATGTTTGGCCTGGCATCGCGGACGTCCAGCGTCCCAACTTCAACGGCAAAAGGAGGGGGCGGGGCAACAACACGGATCCCCCCCCCCCCGCGCGCTTGGGGTCTGCTAGAGGCAAAACGATACTAACAGAGAGGGAAAGGAAGACATAAATGCAATATTGCGTTTAACGTACCTTGCCCTTGTTCTTAGGCATGTTTATATGTGTGTGAGAGTGTTTTTTTGTGGTTTGTGTTGATGGAGGGAAAGGGGAATGAATCTTGCTTGGTGGGGTTGTGTTTTATATGTGGACAGGGAAAGTTGATGGGTTTGGGGAGATGACTGGGAAACCCGGCGCGGGGGAGGCGAGGGAGAGAACTGAAGAACCTTGCATGCTGCCCAACGCGGTGCAGGATCTTCTGTGGCGGTGGCGCTCGGAGAAAGAATGGTATCCACACTTTGAAAGTGAAGTACACTCCAAAGTATACTTTGTGGCTGATCTTACAGCCGCTTACTAATCAGCATAACCTTGAAGGTACAGATACGTAAGTACCTGCATTCTACCCTTGTTGGCCGCCCAATGCCCACCATAGCTCTCTCTCTTGCTTCCTCAATAGCAATAGCTCCAGGCTCAACCCCGTCACGCTTTACTGGACCTTTCACACTTCTGAACAGGCCGGTTCTTATCCCTCCCTTACCGACGAATGTTTGAACACACCAGAAACCATCCAGGGTCATGATCCCGCGTTCTGTCCAACAACATGTAACGCGCCTTATGAGCCAGCTGCCTCGGCGCAGCTATAGTTCCACAGCATCACCGCCGCCCTCCCAACCATCCCGACAACCGGTCTCATCGTCGTCGTCGTCGTCGTCGTTGTCGTCGTCCTCCTCGTCGTCCTCGTCCTCCCCCTCACGCAAGAGAAGGCCCGCAGACTCGCAACCCGAAAAGATCGATCCAATCATCCGAAAACGCCTCGACGAAATACGAGTCGAGACACCAGAAGACATCCAGACCGCCTGGAGGTCGCTCCCCAAGTCTCTCAACCCCAAGAACGAGCTGCGCGTCCGGTACCTGCCGGACCGCCACTTCGTCAAGGTGTTCGACAAGGCCATCCTCACGCCCGCGATCCGGCCGCGCAGCATCCAGCGGCTGGCCTACTACCGCGACCGCAAGGCGTCGAGGGCGCTCTGGCTGGAAATCATTGCGCACCAATCCAACGGCGCCGCCGTGGTCGTCGGGAAGGCGAAACGGATGTGTCGGGTGGCCATGGTGCGCGCGTTGCGGGCCCGCGGCATCCATAAGCATGGGTGGCAGCTCGCGGCGCGCGATGCGTATTTTGCTGCCCAGGCGCGGGCTTTGTGGGAAGGGAAAGGGGGACAAGGTGCTGGTGCTGGTGCTGGTGCTGGTACGGGAACGGGAACGGACGAGGATCGGTCGAAACCGTACCGGATTCCTGCCCTCCGGGGCACCGTATGGGTGAACATTATACAGCCGCGGAACTTTGTTGCGCTCGGCATGGACCGGGTTCAGGAGATTGCACACGGTATCGTGGATCTACTCGTCAAGGCAAAGGCGAATTCAGGTTATAAGAAGAACAGGAACAGGACAAGTCCGCAGCAGCAGGAGAAGGTTGTGGACTCCAACGGGAAGGGAAAGAAGGGGCACACAGACACTCTGGATCGTGAACTACAGACCGAGGCTATAGATGAATGAGTATGAGGTGAAAGCAAGCACCCTATGTAGTGTGTGACTTTTGCCTTTATCCCCAGAGATACTCCTAGGAGCGCCCTCTGCCGAGATGTGTGTCCTCTTTTTTTTTTTTTTTGTTGTTGCCCAACTCCTCAGACTTGCCCCCATCTCCCCATCTTTCTCTTTCTCCTTCTCTTCCCCTCGTTCGCCTTCTTGCTGTCACCTCACCCTCCTCCTTGCCTTTGGTTTTTCTCGCGTTGTTCGTCCCTGTCCACCATCCAATTGAGGATCTGAAGGGCATTATCGTCGGGGAAGCGGGCCGCCAACTCGCGCACGTGGCGGTCCTCCTCGAGCTCCCGGCCCTCGGCGCGGTCCCGGGCACGGTCGGCGAGGGCCTTCTCGCGCATCTCCCGCTGCACGGTCATGAGCCTGCCGTAGACGAACTGGGCGTCGGTCCCGTGGCGGAGGTCGTGCCCGAAGCCCCGGCGGCTGTAGTAGCGCTTCGGCTCGTGTTCGCGGAGCGCGTAGCGCAGCGTGCTGAGGACGCGGTGGTAGGTCTCGACCTCGTGCTCCTGGGCCCGGGCCGGGCGGCGGGGTCCCGCGTGGAGAGGGCAGGGGAGCTCGGGCCGCGAGGCGGGGTCCCAGCTGGGCCACTGGATGGCGCCGTGGGGGATGGCGTGGCACTTGTACGCGTCGGCGCCCCACGGGTTGGCCCTCTCGAGGCGGGCGACGTGGGGGCTGAAGAGGGAGTCGTAGTCTTGCGGGGTCATGGTCTGGGCCGTTTTCAGGTCTCCTAGGAGGGAGAGGACGAGGGAGGCGAGGATCTGGCCGCGGCGTTTGGGGCCCGGACCGATGTGCGGGGCATCGCGGATGGTCTGCGCCGTGATGTTGGGGATACGGTGGTGGGCCATGACGGCGTCGAGGCTGCTGGGAAGCTGGGCCCGCACGTTTTCGCGGAATAGGATGCCGAGGGCGTAGATACAGGTCTCCGTCTCGCCATCACACGGTGCGGTGGGCTTGGAGTCCGGGAAAATCAGCACGGCGTGAGCAGCCGGGATGTGCTTGAGGACGGGGCCCGACATGGCCAGTATACGGAGCTCATCTGCGCCAATGCCGAGCCAGGTGGCTAGGTGAGACTTGCGGAGGTGGATGGTGTTATGCAGGACCGGACGAGTTGCGAGGATATGGGTCGGCCGATGGTCGGAGATTTCTGCGAACTTTCGTACATTGGGGGGGGCGCCGGATGGGGCAGCATCTTGGGCACCGGCAATGGAAGGGGCAGCATCTTCGGCATCCGTAACGTCGTCGGCGACCGTCTCATCGGTGGCTGGCTCAACAGCAGCAGGGTCTTCGACGGCCGCCCTCTGATCCGTAGCCAAGGGTCTCTCACCGGCAGAAGCAAAGGTGCCCATGGTTGATCCTCTAGGAAGAGGGCCTAGGTGGTGATGAGGAAGGATTGAGATGTCTGCCCTGTCGCAACTGTCGGCGAGAGTGGTGATGGAGTTTGGCGAAGGGCGCAGGTCTCCAAGTTGACGAAAATGTCCAAGGTCATCTTCCCAATTCATATCGTAGTACGTCTGTGATCGTTGCGACATGCTGTGTGATTTTCTTTCGGTTAGGAAGGTGCAACGAAAGCACGAGTTGCAGCGAATGCAACGGACCTTGCTGTTTGTGGGAACAAAATATGGCGACTCGTGTCTGACTGTGTACGGTGTATACTTGCTACACTGAGGCTGTGGTAGTAATAGTATGTATGAACATCAGCGGTGTTCCTTATGGTGTTATGTGTAAGCTGCGTGATGTGCCTGGGTTTTCCATTCAGAAGAATTTTCTTTCTTTGTTGCTATGGCAAAGTGCAGCAATTCATCTCACAGAGTGGGGTAAGGAAAGAACTGTGGCCACAATGCATGGTCTTGCCCTCATGCCCTCTTATTTAGTAGTCAAATATCTTGCGACTTGTAGACTCTGTGGCTGGTGCTTCGCGTCTTCTCTGAACAAGTTTTCTCTTTCCAACCTCCACCACAACCTCCCCATCTTATCATTCAGCATCTTGACAGCTAGAAGATGCTGTTGACAACATTGGCGCCAATGGTCGCGCCCGCACCAAACACCGCAGCCTCACCCAGCCTCTTACCAACGTGGGTAACCCCGTCTTTCACCTTGTTGCCGTCCGCGCCATGCTGCTCGGGAGGGCCATGGGCGACAGCCATGGGCGGCGCCGCAGCCTGGTACGGGTTCTGTTGTGGCGGGGGGCCGGCGTAATGAGCCTGAGGCTGATGTGGCGGCGGGAAACCCGGCTGGCCGTAGCCCGGCTGAGGGCCCGGGGGCGGCCAGAGCTGCTGCACAGGCGCGGGGCCGGCTCGCTGTTGTGGCGGCGGCTGTGGCGGTGGCGGCTGGTGGGAATCGACGGCGACGTAGTTCTTGGGGAAGATGCCTTCCTGTCCCGTGCGCAGGTTGCGGCCCATCCACCAGTCGGCGTTCATGTACTGGTGCACGGCGATCTTGTCGTCGCGGTCGAACGAGAGGTCGCGGCCGTCGGCGGGGTTGTAACGGTATAGGCCGCGCGCGTAGGTGAGGACGGGCTTGGACGGGGGCGGAGGAGGCGCAACGGCAGCGGCGCGGTTCTGGGAGTAGGGTGGCGGGGCGGGAGAATGGGAAGAGCCGGTGTTTCTGGCATTGGAGTCGTCGTGGGCCTTGTCCGTCTTGAGGTTCATGTTGGCCATTGCCTCGGTCGGTGGCGGCGGGGACGTCGCGTTGGATGGTTGCAAGGGGGTTGCGCGGGCGCCTCCCCCGCGCAAGGGTGCCTCGGCGGGGAGGAGGGAGTGGATGTTCTCGTAGGTGTCGTCGTCGATGATGCCTTTTTCGAGGAGGTTCTCTAATTCCTAGGAGACGTCAGCGAGGTGCTGCTATGCTGAAGGAGAAGAGTTTCGAGCCTTGACCGTACATTTTTGATGGTTCGGAGAGACCTGTTGGTCTCCATGATGGTCTGCCGATCCGGAGCCATCCTGTATCTTGTCCGGACTTTGTAAGAGTATTTAATAAGCGTCGGACGTAGTCTGATGAAGTGTCGGTTGGTGATAACTCGAGCAGTCGGGCAGCAAGTACCGTAGTGAGTGATAAAGTACAGAGGTAGTACAAAAGTTTTGTGAGTGTTCCAGGTTGTCTTGGCCGTTCACGACGAAATGGTCCGGGTCCAGGGGCAAACTGATCCAACAAATCATACACCGCAGTTATCGTAGTACCCAAGGTACCTTTACCTATCCGTTTTTGACCATGAGAAAAAGATACGTATTGCATGCCGCGCGTCCTTTAGCTTAGCGGGCATCTGCTCAGACCCGGCCGGGGGATACAGAAGAGAGATCCCGTAGAAGAGGGGCCAACACATATAATTACACCCCATAATGTACAATGTAGGCGACCTAGTAAGACACAACGAACCCTTACACCCTTATCCGATGTAGCCCAAGTCTCGATACCCCGCCATGACTTCCGTGGCAATGTAAGGTAATGTACCTTTTCTCGGAGAAATAAGTACGACGGGAATGAATTAATAAGCAAGTCATTACAGCCAAAACCACGCGAATGCTTTGGTCTCAAGAATAAAAACGTTCTATTTTTAATTCTGTTGGATTGGAAACAAGTTACCCTATCAGACAAATCCTCCCCCAACACCCCCCCTAAATGCTACCCTGATGTTGGTTTCTCCTCTTCGCCATCCAAGACCTCCCTTAGACAAACTTGCTGTCCTTGGTGGCATACAGGTCGACGTACTCATCGACGGGGGTGGCCTCGAGCTTCTTCTGGTCCAGGCCGAGCTCGACAATGTGCTTGACGCGGTCCTCGCTGAAGTGGGGGCCGAGGTGCCTCTGGAACTTCTTGAGGATCTCGGGCTTGGCCTCCTCCCTCCGCAGGCGGTGGCCCAGCGGGGCCTCGACCGCCACCTCGTCCAGCACGGTGCCGTCGTTGAGCTCGACGGTCAGCGCGTTGGAGATGGTGCGCAGCGCCGGGTCGTGGTAGTCCGCGGTGTACTGCGGGTCCTCGACGCACTTGATGCGCTTGCGCAGCGACTCGACCAGCCCCGACGTGGCCGCCTCGCCGCCGTCGGTGTAGTCGGTGGCCTGCAGCCGGCCGAAGGTCAGCATGACGGCGCACATGTACTGGATGCAGTGGTCGCGGTCGGCGAAGTTGTCCATGGGCTTGAACTGCTTGTCGATGATGCGGATGCAGGCCTCGTGCGTCCGGATCGTGACGCCCTTGATGTCGGCCGCCGACTTGCCCATGGCCTGGAGCTGCGCGTGGATCTTCTCCGACGCCTCCACCGCCGTCTGCGAGTGGAACTCGGCCGGGTACGACACCTTGAACAGCACGTTCTCCATCACGTAGCTGCCGTAGGGCCGCTGGAACTCAAACTTCTTGCCCTTGAAGAGCACGTCGTAGAAGCCCCACACTGGCGCCGACAGGACGGTGGGGACGCCCTGCTCGCCCTTGAGCACCTTGAGCGCCAGGTTGACGGCGCGCTGGCAGGCGTCGCCGGCGGCCCACGACTTGCGGGACATGGTGTTGGGCGAGTGGCGGTACGTGCGCAGGGACTGGCCGTCCACCCAAGCCTGGGTGACGGCGTCGGCGACCTGCTTCTCGCCGAGGCCCAGCATCTGGGCGACGACGGCCGTGCTGGCCACCTTGACGAGCACGACGTGGTCCAGGCCGACCCTGTTGTACGAGTTGAGCAGGGCCAGGCAGCCCTGGATCTCGTGGGCCTTGATCATGGCCTCGAGCACGTCGCGGACCGTGAACTGCTTGCCGCCGGCGATGTTGCCGCCGGCCTTGTTGGTACGCGTGACCCAGTCGGCCACCGCCAGGATGGCACCCAGGTTGTCCGAAGGGTGGCCCCACTCGGCCGCCAGCCAGCAGTCGTTGTAATCGAGCCAGCGGACCATGGCGCCGATGTTGAACGCCGCGTTGACGGGGTCCAGCACGAAGTCGGTGCCGGGCACCTTGGCGCCATTGGGGACGGTGGTGCCGGGAACGATGGGGCCCAGGAGCTTGGTGCACTCCTTGAAGCGCAGGCCCTCGAGACCACAGCCTAGAGTGTCAAGGAAGACCCATCGCGCGGTGTCGAACTATTGTGTCGTAAGAAGGTAAAAAATTAGAATGAATTCATCATGAACCGCGGCAAAAGGGTTCGGGAGAGAGGAGAGTGGGATGTGGTGGTGGTAATGGGGAGGGAATAGGCACAAGGTGGGGTGAGAGTAGGCGGGGTGAACCGGGAAGGAGACGGGGAAAAAATAAGGGAGAAAAAGAAAAAGAAAAAAAAAAGACATACAGCCAGATCCGAGTCGATCTTGTAGTTGCTGACATAGTTGGCGATGTCCTTAATCTCAGGATCGTACTCACGGGCTTCGGAAGCCATGGCTGGTGCGGCGCTCTGGTTGTTGGTGGTGGTAGAGAAGGTGTGGGTGGAAGAGGGGAGACGGTAAGAGCCCGAGGCGGAGGTGGCCGCCAACTTATTGGACTGGGACGCGATGGAGCCGAGGGGAGCTACCAGACGGACGCTTCGGGGTTGCAGACGCAGCGACCTCGAGGCAGACCTGATGCTGCGGTTGACGGCAGACATGATCGATTGGACCGGTATTTGGCGTCGTTTGTTCGTTTTTTTCTTCTTTCTTTTTTTGTCCCCTTTACGTCAAAAGGATCGAGGCCAATTGACGAAGAAGAAGAAGAAGAGATAGAGAAGATGACAACGCGATCACTTCACGGTGTGCGTCCTTCTCTCGCTCGCTTTTCCGTCTTTTTCGTTTCTTGTTCGACCTTTTGGTCTCTCTGGTTCGTTGGGGGGACGTAATGGAGATATAGATGAGGAAGGCAAGAAGGGAGAAAAAGTGACGAAACTTATGCCCCTCGAAGATAAAAGATAATAAATTCGTTCTAGCAATTGGCCGCGCTCTCTCGGTCTCGGTCTGGTCTCGGCTCAAACAGGTCTAAGGGCCCCAGCCAGAAAGCTTAGGGTACCGTAAGTACCGTAGGTATTGATCAATGGAGTCGACCCCGAGCGGTAACGTAACGGGAGAGAATGAAGTTGATTGGTCCAGAGGTCTGTTGGTCTGGGGGTACGACGGGAAATGCTTTGCCGCGGGCCAACCAAAAGTTCCCGCGTAAGGTACCTTACTCAGTAGAATACGGAGTAGGTATTAAGAAGAACATCCCACCTTTTAAATCCGAGGTTATTCGTATTTCCTGAGCTGCTTTTTATTCAACGCTTTCGTAATAATCTGCGGAATAGGCACGGAGTACCAATTCTTATGATACCTACGGCAACAGATTATATACAAAAAAGAGTAATCTTCTAAACCAAAGGACAAAAAGACCAGAAGAGCAGACCCGTTACTGTCGTGACAGGAGTCCGAGATCCCGACTTTATGGTTTAGCCGTCGATAGCCGAGGCTTTTGGGACCGGCATTCGTGGGCGGTAAAGAAATACTCCTGATATAGAGGTACGGAGTACGAGTGCTTTGTGCTCTGCCCGTCTTCCAGTCGTTCATTATTCACTTACTCAGCTTATTACCATATGTGAAAGCCGACGTCGGGACGGGTTGCCGGTACGGAGTACGGATGGATGGATAAGGTATTAAGGTACTGCTTGCGGATATCCGTACCTCTCAACTCTCACCTTTTCCTTTGCTCTCTCCGCCGACTCCGACTTTACCGACCGGAGACCAGACCACGTACGGCATCGTATCCAGAACCGAGGCCCTGTCGTACCTCCTTTGTTTTTGTTGGTTGAAGAACTAAATAAAACATGACTCAACCGCCCTTTCGTGAAAGCCCGAAAGAAAGACTGAGTGTTGTCTGAGTGTTCAGGCTACTTTGACTCTGCAAGGCAAGAAGTGATCCTACTCTGGCAACAGAGAAAGAGCGCGGCAAAGCGATGAGGCGTATGGTGCTATTCTGTCTCTTGTCATGTTTCGTTTTATGATTTTCTTGGTTCTTTATATTATTCAAATTTGTCTTGATTCATATGACGGCCGTTTTCTTTTACATTGTTAGATATTCATTGTTTCGTGACTCCGCAATGCCTGATCAATTCAACAATGAACAAATAAAGGAACCATGTCGCATACAAAGTTAAAAGGACCCGTATCAAGTCGCGTGTGTTCAACATAAGGTAGGTAGAAAAAAAAGGCAAAACACGATGGCTCCAAAGAATGGTTCAAGCCACTTCGTAATTATTCTCAGGCCAGCCTGGCCTTCCCTACATTTCTTTGCCCTTTTACGTCGTTCATCTTGACCAAGCACTGCACTTCTGCACTTACAAAGCCATTTCATCCATTTGGGTATTTACATAAACCTCTACAAACGACCCGCAACACGATATTGATAACTCGAGCTGCATCGTCAGTCTATCTTCTGCTTTCTTACATCCCCAAGTCGGACAAGGCTCCCGACTTGCCGTTCCAGGATCACCTCCCGTGCAAAGATATCCTAATACCCAGTGGCCGGGAGTGCTTGGCGAAGGGGGTCTCGACCACTAAAAGCTACCTGTCTAAGGCGGGAGCTCTCTGATCCGTCACACACGGCCACCTCTTCCTGTACGTGGTACGGAAGTACGAAGTACAGATACTCCATAATGACCTACGAAGGCACTACTTACGCTGTACCGAGCGGGTTACGGATACCTTGGTCGGCGGGTCCACTACCCCCACCACCCCCACCAGCCCCCAATCCTCCAATGTCTCGCTCCCCTGTTAAGCGATCGGACCCATCAGAAAGCACGGGTACGGGTGGTCCCCACCCGCGTCTGCGTACTGCTTCCGGGCGACCACCTGCCCATCTACATGTCCGTGTCAGTGATCCAACAGCAGCAGCTGCTGCCGCACCACCTCCACCCACCGGGACCATCTCCAACTCGCATCGTCGTCGTCCTCCTGTCCCTCAACGTCGCCCACCTGCCGTCTTCCATAGCCACAGGATGTCGGCCCTCCGCCCTAACCAGAGAGAAAGGGCTCCTTCCAGGGCGGGAGCCGCTGGCCCTCCCACCAGCCAACCTAATGGCATTCTCAATGGAATCATTGACCCCACCAAGACCGGCCAGTATCCCGTCATCCTCAGTGACACCCTGCTGGGCGGCACGCAGACCGATGTCTTCACAGCAGTTCAATGTAAGTTTTTGCTCAGAGAGAACCTCGGGAGACTCCGTCTTCGGGTGGAATGAAGCTGACCGCCCACTCTCATCACCCAGACAACCACAAACCCCAGCCATTATCATCGGACGCAGCGACCACCCCATCGACGCTAAAGCCCGCCACGCCCGGCAATGAGTCCAACTTCCAGCTCTCCCTCGAAGACAGCGATGGTGGAAAATATAGCTATTCAGGCACTCGGACGACCGACAAGAGTCAATACGTCCTTTACTTTGATGCCGCGAAGAAGGCCTTCATCCTCGACCGCATCGACTCCACCTTCCACATGAACCTCACCCGTACCCCCAACAACACCGACCCAGAGGCCCTGAGGGAACAGTTCCAACACCTTGACACATCACCTACACCATCACCACCCGAACCAGTCCAAGGCGCGCGGAAAGCAACAGCGGCAGGCACCAAACCCACCGCCAAAGCCGCCGCCAAGCCATCCGTCAAACAATCTTCCCTGAAGAACAGCAATGCCGCCGCCACCAACGCCATCACCCGCAAGCAAGGCCCCTCCACTCCCGCGGGGCAAACAAAACCAGACAAGAAGAAAGAAGCCAAGGTGGTCCAGCTCGCACTCCCGCAGAACAACCGTCCACCGGAACCGAAGACCACCACTGCGCCCGCCGAGACAACAACAACAGCAACAACAGCAACAACAACCAAGCGGGACAAGGACAAGGACAAGGACAAGGACACGGACAAGGACAAGCGCAGCCGTCGCCAAGAGCAAGAAGAAGACGAAGACGACGACGAGGACGACGAGGACATCGGCCTCACCATCGAATACCCGGACGAACCGCCCCGGTCCCGCGGCGGCGGCGGTGCCGATTTCTCGCCCGCTTTCCCCGCCCAGCGCCTCACGGTCCGGCGCTTCTCCGAGTTCCTCCGCGACTCGGAGGCCGACGATGCCGATGGGGAATCTGAGCCCGAGGAAGACGGGTTCAAGCTGCCCAGTCCCGTCAATAATCGGCATGCGCCGTATCACCATGCCGGCGACGATAATGAGGAGGACGACGAGGACGAAGAAGACGAGTTTGAGGATGTGCACGTTGCGCCTGCCGGTGGACAACAGCAGCACCAGCGACACCAAGCTGAACAGATGGATGTGGATGCCGGGGTGGAGGACGAATTGGATTTGGAGGCCGAGCTCGAGGATGCTCTGGAGCAAGCTGCCAACAGTGGGGATGCGGGCGAAGAGAGTGAGGTTAGCGAGGAGGACTAGCCTTGATCGGCTTGACTCTCTTTACGGTCCCTTTCCTACCTCTTTATCTTTCTACCTTTCTCTGCCTTTTTTTTTTCCGGGCTTTTTTGCCTTTTTCACCCCCGTTTTGTTTTATTTCTCCTGGCACGATGCCGGCACAGCGAGTACCTTTAAGGGTTATGAACATAATTGCATGGACGAGACTCGTGAATGTTTTTTTTTTGGACCCGGAAACACCCCCAGGACCGGGTGGCTGTTACTATGGATATACCACGGCGAGGCGTTTTACGGACAGTTTAGCGAAAAGAAGCGCTCGGCGCATTAGATCCCTTGGTTCATGGTGGTGATACTACTGCGGGCCCACACTGTTGTACGCAGCAAGTCGTTCGGCTTTATACGAAGAAATATATATTCAGTTCCCATGATTCAGATGCCAAAACAAAACATTCCATTATAATTATGAGCGTGTGCCTCTGCATCCTAACTAACCCTGGCGCAAATGCGAGCACATGGGTGTATAGGTAAGCACTGAATCTTCGAGGTGCGGCTTTGGGTCACACGACCTCCCACCTCGCCAGCCATCCAACGTTCTCCCCGGCGTTCCGCACAATGCATAACCTCCCCTCGCTGTCGTCCCTGCCCGCGCCCCCGCCCCCGCCCCCGCCCCCGCCCCCCCTCCTGGCCTCCTGCAGCGCCTCGACGGCCTTGTGGACGGCAATCGACCCCACGGCCGTCCCCTTGCCCTCGCTGAGGGTGAACGCCCCCGTCGTCACGAACCCGATCAGGTCGTCCTCGTCCGGCACGAGGGGGTGGCCTCCCATATCGGTCTGGTTCGGCCGGGGCGGCGGGTACGGGGCGGGCGGAGGGGTGGCGGCGGCGGCGAGGAGGGACGCGGCTAGGATGCGCTTGCGGGTTTGCATGTCCGCGTCCGGCGGGAAGCGGCGGCGGCGGCGGCTGCTGCTTGTCGTTGTCGTTGTTGATGGTGTTGTGTTCGAGTGGGGTTTCGATTTCGACCCTTTGAGTGCGAGGCGGGCGGAGGAGGAGGGCGGGAGACGCGCGAGCCATTGGTCGCGGAGATCGGGGGGGAGGCGGCTCTTTTTGGATGGAGATTGCGGGGGCGGGGCCGAGGCGGGGACTTCGGCGGAGGAGGAGGGGGGTTGGGGCGCTGGGCGGGAGGGAAGGCGGTAGATTCTCGCGCAGGGGTTGGCGACGCCGCGGGACGTGAGGGTGATGGAGACGGTGATGATGGAGTTATCGGGTGGGGGTGGGGGCGGGGAGGTTTTGGACGAGATCAGCTCCTTGAAGGATTCTTTGGAGAGGCGCTGGATGAGCTTCAGAGAGTCGGCTGCTGGAGGAGGAGCCTCGGCCTTGGCGTCTTTCTCGCCAGCCGGCGGAGCCCCGTCAATGTCCATCCTGTCGGGTGACAGCTGCGCCGAGTCTCGAGCCCCCTCCTCGAGGCGGAAGATGTGCTCGAGATGACAAGCCCATCCGTCGCCGATTTCGCCCTTACGGCCGGCCCCGAGGTCCAGGGCGTCCCATGCCGTCCTTTTGCTCTTGGGCCTCCTTTCCCAGTCTCGCTTCCTCCTGGCCCGCTCTTCGGCCTCCCACTGCGCTCCCGCATCGGTCCCCAGGAAATCAAAGGGGAAACTGGGCTGTCCCCGCTCGAAGGGCACCTGCCTTGCCTCGTTCAGACCGCCGAACCGCGGATTGCCTCCCGACGAGAGAGGGAAGTGTACGAGGCTGTACCATAGGGGCTGGATGCACTTGAAAGGGGCGAGAAGGGTCCACGTGCCTTGGGCTTGGGCGGCGACATTTCCGGGACGGGATGCTAGGAGAATGATGGGCAATGGGGGATCTGCGACGCTAGGCTCGAGATCGGTGCCGGGAAGCTTGGCCCCTTTTCGGCGATCGATGGACTTTTGGGACGGCAGCTTTGTGGCGTTGAAGCGGACATTCCTATCAAATAGTGCGTGGGGTCTGAGTCTCACGTGTTCGTCGGCGGGCCATTTGGCGAGGGTATCGAGAAGCTTGTTCTGCGCCTTTTCGTCATCCGAGTCGGTCGGCGCGCGTCGCGGTGGATAGCGCAGACGCGGGTCCATGATGGAGAAGGCTAGGAGCGAGTTTGGCGGGGTTGATGCAGGATTGGTCAGGCTCGTCAAACTGGCGAAGACGTCGGCATGCTTCTCTTTCAGGTCGGGCTTGGTATAGTATGGGTGAAGGATGCCCAGAAGCGTCTCGGTCGAAGCCGGCCCCGTGATTTCGATGCTGCCAATCTCGAAGCGGAGATCCTCGATGTAGAGACGGGGGTTCTGCATCTTGGCTAGGCGTAGTAGTTCGTCGAACAGCTCGAGGAAGGCGGATGGGTGGACTCTGAAGAACAGTTGCCTCTGGGCCGTCTTTGTCTGGCTCCTTTCCGGCTCGGCGGCTTGGTCGTTTTCGGGACCGGGTGGCTGCTGGTCGTTCTGTTGCTGCTGCTGAGGTTCTTCCGCACTTGCCGGATTCCAGATGATGGTGGCGGGACAGATGAAACGACGTCCGAGTTTCGTCTCCCTGCTAAGGAAGCCGGTCCAGTGGCGGGTGCCGGCTCTCCACCTGCGACCCCTCTCGTCCCAGCAGCTCTCTTGCGTGACGCCCAGCCTCCGGAGAAGCTGCTCCACGCCCTTCTCGTTATTACCGTATAGGCCGATGGTGCTCATGTAGCTCGTGTCCCAAACGATCGTCCCCTTTTCACCCTGGGCACGGTGGGTAGGGCGGTACACCTTCTCGTTCGGGGTCAAGGGTATGGCGAACCTCCAGAGAGGGTTCTTCGGGTCGGTCATCCTGGCTCGCTTCGCATGCCAGAGATGGGTCGGCAGCCACGTCTTGTGGGCCTGGCGCTTTCGGAACTTGGACTTGGGCTTGGGGGGTTCGTTGAGCTGGTTACGACGGATTTTCGGTCGTGGCGGACGGGTGGTGACGGTGGTGACGGTGGTGACGGTGGTGGCGGAGGGTTCTGTGGGGGTAGAACCACTCGTCGTCGCGGCCTTCTCGCGGGCGGCCTTGAGCTTGCGCTTGCGTTTCTTCTCGGCGAGGATACCCAGCCTCTTGGCCGTCTCGGCACGTATCCTAGCCCTGGCGGTTTTGGGCTTCCTCCGGCGGCGGACGACGGTCGGGGTGTTGTCTTCGTTCATCTCTTTGATGGCGCGGCGGCGCAGTCTCTTGGGGACCCTCTTCGCGTTGTGGCTCGCGGTCCTTCGGCGCATGCCGCGGGGCACCTGCTGGAAGGCCCGGGTGGAGGACTCGGCCTTGATGTGGCGCATGCTCTCCTCGAGGGCCCGGATCTCGAACTCGCGAGCGTTGAGAAAGGCCTGCAGGTCCAGTTCGCCATTTTTCAGAGCCAGGCTGGGATCCTGGGTGGCTATCTCCCTATCGCTTCGGATCTTGACGCGCTTCGGCGGCCGGCCACCGTCGCGACCACCGAACTTCTTGGAGGCATTGTCGTTTGGGCCGGGCTCTTTTCGCTTATTTGAAAGTGCAGATTTGAGGGACGGTCCGGAAAGAGCGGAATTGGGAGGCATTTTTTTCGAGAAGCTGGGGACGGGGAAAAGGAGTTTGCGATCAGGCTAGCTGCACCCTGCACTTCTCGTCAGTTTGAAGAGGCTCAAATTTGGAGGCCGGCCTGGCTGGAAACAACTCTTATCTTATCGCAGGGTGTGTCTTTATGGTATGGTGGCGTGTATTTAGTACAGAAGAGGCGACGGGCATGTACCTTGGCTACCTTAGAGCAGCACGATACTCTGTACCTTAGGTAGTGTACAGAATACTCTGCAGTGACATTCGTTAGGTAGTCGGAGTTCGGCTACCTGATGCTGCGTCCTGTCGTAACCGGCACTTTTGAGATGATCGAGTTTCTGAAGGTAAGGTAGGGTAGGGGTACTGGAACTCAAGGAGAGTGCCAAGACATACTCGATGCCGTCTGAACATCATCCGGACACCTTCCATCGTTATCTCAGCAGGCTCAGACCATCCTTATGGCTATAGGGCTTATGAATTTAACTGAATTTGTATACAACTAAAACATAAAGGTACAATTATTATACAATTATACGTACCTAGCCCCATTTAATCTAGTTCTAACCAATTATATCACTTAAATCATTATATCCTAAACCTAGCTATAAGGAGGTCTAAGAGCTAAACGTAATAGGAACCGTAATCCACGTAAGCTATCCAGGCAGATTTTACTAAAAGACTCTCTTAACGTAATGTAACGTAAGTAATATCCTTTTAATTATAGTAATCGATTATTCACGAGTCACGCTATCTTTCGGTACTAATTTATCGCGATATCGAGCTCTTTTTCTAGTGATCTTAGTAAGCTAAGTAAGCAGGAGCTTACTTAGCTTAAGTAAACGGCTTTACGGGTATTACCGACTATCCTAGAAAGCTAAGAAGACGATATACGAACTGCCTTTAACGACGAAGATATACCCGAAGGAATTATCGCCGATACTAAAGCCGCCTAGCACTCTCTAAGGAATCGCCGTGGTTATATAGGCTTATATTCTATTAAGTCCTTACTTAAGGTATAGGTTTAGTACCCTAGGCACGCTTATTAGCTTACCGATACTCTAAGAGATAATAATATAGCTATCTTCCGTCGGATCCTATAATAAACTAGTGTATCTATTATTTTTAAAGAGGTTAACTACGATAGGGGGGAGGCCCGTTCTTAATATAATACCACGATTATACGAAGGAAGCTAGATACTCTAATAACTAACGACTTCTTTACTAATTTAGACCCTCTCGTTAACCGAAGCGATAATATATCCACTATTAGCGCCGTCTATAATACCTCCTAGCTCAATACTCGTCTCTAGCAGGCTTAGCCCTTACTTATATCGTAAGCTCCTCGTCTAGTGCGATACCTGTCCTAGCTACTCTTAAACTAATACGAGAGCAGAGAGGATATTCGGTGGGCTCGTAATACTCCTAGGGATATAGATAAAGTCTTAATCTACCTTATTATTAGTATCCTACTATATAGCTATACGGGCAGAATATACCGATTTTTACCATAGGTCCTCGGTGTATATATACTATCCAATAGCACCCCTTAACGAGTTATCGATTCCATAGCGAGACTAGGAGTAACTATATCGTATACCTATCTTAACGAGAAGCTAAATACTATATCTAAGCAGGCCACGGTATATTATATCCGTCTAGGTATACCGGAGAATACTAATAGTTTATATAAATAGGAAGATATTAAGCGTGTAGCTTATAACCCTAATTCCGTTATTATATATAATAACTTTAACTTTATAAACCGTGTTAGGGACCTTACTAGTAATAAGCAGGATTATTTCATTAGCCTAATAACCTCGCTATTAGTAAACTGCCCGAGCTTAAACGGACCGATTATACAGTGCTAATTCGACCTCTAACACCGCTTTACGAAGGCTATAGTACTCGAGCTCCTCCGTAGGAAGCTATCGCTTAATAGGATATCTCGATATCTTATATCTCTCGCCCTATTAAAGCAGTTTACCCAGATACAGCCTCCTATACATCTAGCCGTTACTACGGTAGATTACTATAATAGTCCTTGACTTTAGCTTAGCGCTATCTTTAAAAATAAGGGAACTATTAAAGGCACGTATAACCTATATAAGGAGCTCTTTAAGAAAAGACTCTAGTTTAAGCCCGGCGATCGTATAATACTTCTATATAGTAACTAGAAGACCACTTTATTTATCCGTCGTATTAAACAGTCCTAGATCAAGGTAATAGATCCGTGGGAAAGGAAGGACTAGATACTCTTTATTCTAGTACTCTTCCACGTCGAACTTAACTATATACAGATACTCTTTAGAATATTCTAGGATACCGGGGACTCCCGTATTCAGTCTAATATAACTATATCTTCCGATATTTAGTTCTTTAAGAGGTCTAAAACTATTATTAAAAGGGAGGCAAATTACTATTAAGCACTACTAGCTCTCCTGCATAGATTCACGGCCCGGGTCCTAACGTATATTATCGCAGAACTACGTGATCTTAGCCTTATTCCTATTACCCTATAGTATATTGATACCGTTTAAGAGGTAATAACACGACTTATAGCAGAGAACCCCGATAAGCTTAAGAGTATTTTAGACCGTATCTAGTAGAAGGTTTTTACTATTAATAGGTGGACCGGCGAAACTACTTGATACTCTAACGGATCGATTAACGTCGAGTATAGGAGCTATTATTGGCTAATACAGAGTATTAAGCTATTACTACTACTATACGAGGCTATTCGTAATAGCGACTATAGTCTTCGCGGAGATATTATCCTATAGCTACTAGTTATATTTTAGGGTAGGAAATCTAGTAATTATAGCCCCGAAATACTTTATTTTATATAGCTTCTTTAGGTCTCCGATGACTATACCCGCGAGGCAGTTCTTAAGGGTGGTATAATCTGCTATGTTACAGCTAATAGTTAGTATAAGAGTATTAATCTTCTTCTCGAGTATATTAACGCTATATATACGTTAGATATTAAGTATTATAAGAATAGCACCCATGATATCAATATTATCTTTAAGAAACTAGCCCTAAATGGTAACTATATTACTATAATCCGGAAGGCTATTAAAGGGCTTCTATAGTCTAAACTAAAAGGAACCTATATAACAGGTTCTACCACAATTAATATTATCAGCTATACTATTAAGTTATATAACGATAGTATAATTACCCTAACGCTAGGTCGTATAGGCTAGGATACTCCTAATATCGCCGAGCGTGGATAAGAGATTCTTCATCAAAAGCTCGCTAGCTTTAACGAAAGCATTCTATAGCCCGTCGATACGACTATATAACGCGGCCTTCCGGGTATTATAACTAATAGAATAGGCGATAATAACGATAATAAGGGGATTAACTAGGCTAATATAGGCGACGACTTATTTACCCGTGATAATAATACTATTTAGGATCGGGTTAATTAGGACTAGGAGGATTCTCGTGCTAATATAGATATTAGCGAGTAATTATATACTACTTATATTATAAGTGTAGTTATAAAGTAGGGTAGGCGCTAGTATATTACTATTTTTAGCTAATAGTATACCTTTATAATATTCTATCTATTTTTAATAAAGGAATAACCCTTAATAACTCACCACTAATAATAATATCATAATAGCGGATATTTACGATATCCCGTCGGATATTAAATAAGAGATCGCCTTATTACCTCGTAAGATATAACTTATATAATTAGTATACACTTATATTACTAATAGCTTATATCTTAATAGATAATCGTAATAAGCGTCGCCGAGTTACGTCGCTATAGCCTAAGCCCGAGTCTAAACCCGAGCCCGAGCCTAAGTAATAGTAATAGTAATAGTAATAGTAATAAGGTGGATAATAACTATAATTACTATATAATTATACTATACTAACTATATTGGATAGTGGCTATCGAGCAGGTAAAAGAATATCTTATACTAGGCTACTCCCGCCTAGCTACTAATACTACCGCGACTCTCGCTAACCTCATAGTCCGACAGGATCTTATCCCTAATAAGCTCTTTCAGAGGTAAGTTATAACTTACTACTATAATTATATTATAATTATACTAATATATAATAGCGAACAGTTATATAGCATCGAGTCCTGCCCCAACACCGACGCTAGCACTAATAACACTAACGCCCTCCGCCCCTCGTATACCCGCCCGCCCGCCCGGCCGCTTACCCGCCCTCCCTACTAGACTAAGGCTTTTACTAAGATCTACTAGCCCTCTAGATCTTATATATACTAAGGATTAAATTAAGAGGTTAATAGAGGACGAACGGGCTGGCGTTCGTGCCTTACTAGAATTTCATATAACTATACTAGGCTTAGCTAGTTATAAGCTTTAGCAGTAGTAGTAGCAGTAATAATAATAGCAGGATTAGTAGCAGTAATAGTAGCCTCCTCCAAGGCTATAGACTATATAAGAGATAGAAGAGGAGAGAATATAGGAGGAGGTAAGGAATATAGTATAGGAGGAGGAGGCGCCTCTGCTAAAGGTAACCGATAATAATATTCTAAGCCTACTTAACGATATAGCCTAATAATCGGTACGATTATAATATAACTACTATATAACTACTATATAATTAAAATCTTATCTCTACTTAAAAGATAAGGTAAGGTTAAAATACTTATTATATAACTAATATTACCAGCACGCGAACCTTTTTTTAACCTTACTCGTTAATAATAAACAGCACAGATATATAACTTAATTACAAATAGATATATAACTTAATTACAAATAGATATATAACTTAATTACAAATAGATATATAACTTAATTACAAATAGATATATAACTTAATTATAACTCGTACAACTCGATTATAACTTATATAACTTAATATAGCTTTACCTCTTAGCTACTAGCTAACTAGGAGCCTCCGATTAAGTCCTCCTTTTTAGCTTACTTCTCTCGGCCTTATACGCCTCCTATTACTCGTGGATATACATAAACCGCTTATAAAGATAGCTAAGCAACTCGACCCTATATAAAGTATAGTATTTCTAATCTTTTAGACCCGGTATAGCGTCTAAAAACGCGTTTATTATAGCGATACCTAAGCCCTAGGCCTTCTTCGTGCAAGAGAATAGTCGTGTAATCGAGTACTATAGCTACGATTCTATAAATATCTCCGGGATAATTATAAAACGGCGCTCGTGGCGAGGGATAAGCTCCTATACCTTATCTCGACACTAAGAGGAAATAACCTCGAAAGCTATATAGGTAAGTAAGCCCTTCTATAGCTTTTCCCCTTACTTATCCCGAGGTAATAAAGGCGGTACATCCTCGAGGCTATTATTATAGACGTTATAGTATATATCCCGATAAACCTATCGTTTATTCTCGATATTATCGGGTTCCTATAAGTAGTCTAAAATAGCCTTCCGGAAGCATACTACGTTAGCGAGACTATAAAGAGTCTTATTAAGGTTCTTACGTTAATTTAGGTTACTAGGAGACTACTTTACACGATAGGGAATTCTAAAGAGTATTTACGGCGTAATAGTATCGTCTAGTAGCCGCTTAGTATCGCCCTTATTAGTGCTTATAGTCGAGATATTAAAGGACTCGGTAAAGCTTTCCTCTAGTAACACTTTAATAAAGCGAAGAGTGCTTAGCCTACAAGGTATATACTTATTCGCGGCTATAGCTCGTTTACGCCTTACTAACTTCTTAATAGCCTTATCTTACCCTAGACGGTTAAATACCTAGTACGGTATAAAGTAATACTCTATAGCCTATAACTATATATCCTAGTGGTTCTCTAATACGATAACGCTACGAGCTATACGCCTAAACTTCTACTAAAGGCTTACGGTAATAAGACCCGCGGGGAGACTAAACTAGATAATAATACGGACGTCTTAAATATCTATACCTATACTAAGGGCCACGGTAGCGAAGATAACTCTACACACTGAATTACTACGGGAGAAGTTATCGTATATAAGATCCCGGTCGGCAGGTTATATATCAGTATTAAAACGGTGTATAGTTTAACGGGCCTACGGCTTAGTAAAACCCTTATAATAAATAAGGTATCTTATTAGCTAGAATTAAGCCTCTATTAGCCTAGACTTACTTTCGATATAGATAATAGTCTTCGGCAATATTATAGAGTTATCGGGCCTCGCTTTATAGATCATAAACTCTAGACGTCTATAGTCGGTTTAGAACCCCCGAAGCAGAGGCTAAAAGTAAATAGATATCTCCGGCCTATTAACCGATATTCTGATAGTCTATAGCGTGTTATCAAAGCCAGTATACTTAAGGATATATCGTTTATTATCTCGATTAAGAGTCGCAGTATATCCGAACAAAGGCACACGGCGAGAAACCAGGGATCTTAGGCTATATAAGAGCGTGAAGTCGATCCTAAACTCTTTCTATTCGGCCACTATATAAAGCTCGTCGATAGTAAAAAGGCCTAAAATTAAATAGAAAAACGGCTAACAAAGGACGGCCTTAAACTTCGGGTATAAGGCTTACTCGGGGCTTAGCAGGATATAAGTATATCGGCCTTAAAGTATCTAATACCAGATATCACGGTTCTAATAATATACGTTAGTAATAGTTAAATTACGGCGCCAGGCCAGGGCCTCACAGTCTTACCTTTAGATATATATTAGTATTAATCTATACAGGATTAGACCCCGGAACCCTCTTCTGAATAGCTTCGGCCTATAACTAGCCTAGCTTTATAAGTGGCACGATCTAGATTATAACCTTACCCGTTATCGCTAAGAAGGTATATAGAATAGCGCTTTTCCCGTATTCAGTTAAAGCGATAAGTATAGTATCTTCCTAGTCGAATATAAGACGTTTAATAGTATCGACTTAACCCTTACGAGCACTCGGCGCGTGGGTGATACGGTAAATTACGCCCTCGATAACCTCGCGCCTGAGTTCCGGTCGTTAAGTAATAGTGCGTATAAGCTATTTTAACCGCCCTTTAAACAGCCGAGCCTCTATATTAGCCCCCGGGGTATTATCGGGAATTATTAACCTAATCTTAGTAATAATATCGTGAATCTGTGTTATTATCGGTTTATTTGCCTGTTCCTATGCTAGTATAGCGCTGACCTCAGATTATATAACTGCCGCCGCCACCGCCGTCGACGCTATAGCGTTCTTAAAAAAAATATCTACAGATTTATATCAGGTCAGCGATTATATTAATATAGGTTTTAGCTAACGCGCTGATTCTAATCTAAGGATAGGGGCATCGATATACCACTAAAAACACGTTTATAGATCTGGTTCGATAATACGACTAGCCTATAACGAAGAAAACGGTTATCTAAGTAAGAAGTATATAAGATAATCTTTAGTATAAAATTTTACGCTGCTACGATAATAGGAAGTTATTTTTCTACCCCCCCCCTCGATATCCCCGGAACCCTCCACGTGGATCTAAGATTTTACTAATAATTCAGTAAAAATTCAACTTTAATCCGCTAACCCCTAAACCCCGATATCTTAAAGATTTACTACTATATATCTAGCTTAGAGGAACGAATTAGATATTAATAATATATAATAGTTAAGATATTATAGCTTAAAGAGAGGGCGTTTTTAGCGCTCCTATAGTTAAGCCTACGTGGATCACGACTATTTTTACGCTTAGTGCTTAGACTACTTTCACGGTCATATCGGAAAAGTAACGTACTGATATATTATAGGTCTGTTTACTATAGGTATATACTTATTTTTACATTTTGACTGCATAGCTCGAACATTTAACTAACGATGCCTGGACCTATACACACCACACCGCCCATGGAAGTGGTCTGAGCCTACTAAGATAATTCCATCGTACCTTACTTAGGTGCCGTACTCGAAACGGATCTTACGGATTACTTCGTCCTGCGACAATAGTATCACCATCTCCCATTCCCATATGCACCGGTCGCATGCATTATTGACCACTCGGGACCACTTGGTACTTACAAAGTATTACGTTCATGGCTAGACTGATTTTTTAGCCCATCTTCCTCCGTACCTACTACTTCCTGTCAGACCCAAACCCCCAGATTCACATCATCCACCAAATCCACCAAATCCACGAAACCCTCTCCCTCC